CAACTCTGCAATGGCTCTGCCAGCTTGTGTTGTCAAAATCCTCCCCATGGCTCAGGGAAGCTGTGCCAGCACATCTGGGAGGCACACATCGCCCAGCTCCGCGGGGGCAGAGCCAGGGAGGTGTTGGCAGGCACTGGCGTGTTCATTTCATGCTTTTCAGAGATCAGTCATTGTGTTTGATGTTCCAGAAAAGCATGGGATGATCTTAACCTTGTGTTACCCATTTTTCACAACAGAATCTGGCTTGAGAGTTCACACTTTAGTGAGCAACAGAAACTTGAAACTGCCCCTAAGCCCCTACAGTATCAGGCCAAGGCTTTACCACGTTGATTTGCACACACTTCACCTTGTAAAGTGGGGTGGTTTTTTTTCCCCCACAGCTGCAAAGCCAAGAACTCAGTTTCAAGTGAAAGGTGAGACTCTAAATGCAGCACGTTGGCCATGCCTGTATCAGGTAGGCCATGTTTGGCCCACGTAGTTGGCACCCCTGATTTAAAGCACACCAGAGAGAAAACAACCCAAGAAACAGTCTGTGTTCCTTATAAATAGCTGCTCTCTAGGTAGTCATCAGTGTGTGGTTTATGAATAAAACCTGTCCAAACTACATCAAAGTGCCTGAATATTTGCTGCCTGATTTTGCTGAGTTGTGTGTCTTAATTCAGCTCACACCTCCCTTTGCAGACCCTTGTCCTGTTTTGTTTCACAGCTCTCTGAACTCTCTGGTAGCATTTGGACAGATTTTATGTAGTTTATCGAAAGATTTTTGCACTGATTTAGTGCAGGGTCTACTTGAGCCAAGTGAAACAGGAACTATTTCAGAGGCATAAAAAGGCAGAAAGGAAATTTTCTTATTGAAATATCATTTTTCCATATTACTTAATAGTCTAGAAAGTTAATGCCTTTCTGGCAGCACTTCCCACTGGGAAAAAAATATAGTTCCTACTCAGCCAAACAACACTGTAATAATGTTTTGGGTTGGGTTAAACGTCTTGGAAACTGGCAGGTGTCACAGCCACCTTGCCTTCAGTGAAAAAAGCAATTGAGAGCCCTTATGGAACAAGGGATTTACATCAGTAGGGGCTACTACACAAAAAAAAACCAGGCACATGGCAAGCTTTGAATAGATGGTGAATCATGTGGCCCAAGGGATTTTTCGGGGTGGGGGCGTGTGTGTAAAATATCAGGCCGTGAGGACCAGATGGTAGAGCTCTGCATGTGCGAGGGGAACAGCAAGAAGCTGCAGAAATGGAGACAGGGAAGCAGCTGAAAGTGAAGGAGGCTGGGAGCTTTGGTTTTGAAAGCTGCATATCCAGGGTTTACCGAGGGTCAAAGCAGTGCTGGCACTGCGAGGAAAAGCACAGCTGAAAAACAATTTTTGTACATTTGTTCTGTAAACAAAGTGAATCACCTTGAGTGTACACCTGCTTTGTCATGGCCCTCTCTGACACTGGCGCTGCCACCATAACTTTGTGTGTGCAGGTGCAGTTCAGCTCTCTTATATCACACTTTCCTCTTCCCTCCCTGCCCTGCCCAGGCTGAACTCTGTGGGGCAGACCCTCAGGAAGGCCTTGTGCAACATCTGAAATTCATCACTCTACTTACACGGTAAGTCCCACTCCTTAGGGTCTGTCTTTCCTACTGTAAATTTTTCAAGGCATTGCCTCTTGCTCTGTGTGTACATGCTGCAGTGGGAATTCTTAGCTGAAAACACAAATAATTCATATCACTCCTAATGTTAAAAAATAAATATTTCAGGCTCTGTCTTGTTATTTACACTCTTAACTAAGTTCATGAATATTTCCTTGGACATAAATGGGGCTACTTGTTCTTCTTGTCAAGTTTATATTGAAGTCTTTGTGACTGGGGTCTGTGTTACCAAGAAAAAATTAAGTGTATTTCAAAAACATGGTTGTGAAGATATTTAGGAAGAACAGGTGCCCATTCTTGTCCAGTTTATATGACCAAAGAAGAGTATGCAGCAGATGGCCTGTGCAAACTGTGGCTACAAGAAGTACCAGAAGTGAGACCTTGCTGGTGAGCTAAAATACTTGTATTTTCCATTAGAAATATTACTGCAAACCATGCTGCTTAGCCTAAGGGCTTGCACTGTGCTACAGCTTAATTGATTGGAAACTTAAAACTTCTACAGTATTCAGAGTTTCTCTAAACAGAAGGATGTTGCTAACCAGAATATTTTGTCAATGTTTATTATTTAACGTATTTGTTGTTAAGATATTTATAATTTAAAAGTGTTTTTTTAGCAGAAAGGTTTACATTTATGGTTCTACTCCCTCACCTGACTCTCTGTAGTTGCAAAACTCACAAGCCTTTAATATTATTAAATCTCAGTTTCATTTCCTTCTTCAAGAACATCACAAGGGACAAGGAGAGAGGCAGCACAGGGCATTGGTGCTGTTTCCTTAGGTCAGACTAAGGATGTGGCTGAGATTCTTCCATGGTACCAGAAGCAGTCCAAGAGGTGGCAAGCACTTTTTCCCCAGGCTTGGTATTTTGAAAAATGGGATTATCAACATCTTTGATCACCCTATTTTGTAAGAAAGCTTCAATATTAAACCTAATCTGTGAATCTTTTTTGGGTGTTCTCATAACTAACCTGAGTTACCCATCAATACCATCTAAAAAAATTCTTAAAAATCATAAACTCCCAGCAGTTTTCCTGAGCAGTGTGCTAACCTTTCACTCCTGCCTGATTTTTTCCCTGGCAATCATCAAGCAACAAATTGGTACCAAGACTGGAACACGGATATTTGCCATAGCCCATTAAAGCCTTGATTTTGTTGTGCTCTCTGTGAAGCTCCACACAGACGTTATCGTGTAAGGTTTTGACGAAATAACTTGTGCCAAAATCAATATACAGGCCAAAACAGAAGCAGGAGAAGGACACTTGCAATTAATAATGATTAGATTTGAGTTTTACTAATAGGAGGCTGAATCTTCTTCCATTTAAATCAGTGGCACAATTCCTAATTAGACTTTGCTTTTTCGGAGTCAGCAAATTACCTGTAGCTTTTACATAGTACTGGATATGCCCAAAGCACTGCACACCTGGTAATTGAAAATAAGTAAATGAGACACTGAAATGTTATATTTCATCAATAATAAGTTGACTTGTTACAAATAGAACATCCATTACTTAAAAACAGTCTTTGGAGTGTTCACAGTTGATTTTATCATCTGCTCGTTTCATACTGAATCTAAAGGTGTACAAATCTCAGTTTCCTTAACAATAAATTGGAAAAGGAGACAAAGCTGAGAGAAATGTAAAGATTGTTTTGTGAGAATTGGGGGAAAAAACCAAAACAAACCCAAACTCAAAAAAAGCCTAACAATGTCCCTCAATTACTTTTATCCCCCGAAAAACCCCTTTTATTGTTATAACGGACTTGAAAAAAAACCAAACCTGAATTACAGTCCTCAGTTACAGAAAGGCTACTAACTCTGCCTCCTGATTGTGTCATACATAGTGTGATGCTGGTTTTGAGCCAGGTCCAAATAAATCATTTCAGGATACAACAAATTCTTCCCTGGCCCATCCATTCCTGCGCCGTCGGAAAGCCCTCAGCCATTACAGCCCACAGGAGCTGATGGCTTTTACTGTGTTCCGTACAAGATTTATAACACTGTGCTCCATAAAGCATCTTTTTGACAGATTCTACATGATTGCATCAACTTTTTCCTCAGTAAAATGGCGAGTTTTGAACGGGTGTGACTTTAACCGCCTTTTTATTATTGTAATTTGAATTATATGACATTTTGTTAGCTTTTTACGGGTCGCTTGCTCTTCTCTATTGCCGAAATATCCTCTTCTAGCTTTTTTGTTTGCCCTCTGCACAAAGACGGGTCTCCCTTGCCCGAGCTTTGGAGCGCGGTGATGTTTGCGTTGGGTCTGGAAGGCCATCTAGTGACACAACCGTGCAGGGGAAACGCAAAACCCTGTTCGAATTGTGGTGTTGGGTTTTTTTCCCTTAGTTGAATTAAACGATCTTGCCACACTCGAGCAGTGCCCTTGGGGGGTTGTTGCAGTTCCCACAGGTGGTATTTCAAAAAGAAATTTAGAGGAAATTTTGATTTCTTAAGAACTGTGTATTGGAACCAAACGTATCCAGCGGTTGTGATCCCCTCTCAGAGCCAAACTTACCCAGCCATTGTGATCTCTGGCTTTCCACGGTACAAAACCCCACCATGTGGGTGCCTGAGGCCACCACATCTCTGCAATTAAAAGGTGAAATTCCTGTTGTTTTCATCGAAGCTCACCTTGGATGGTGAGAAGGTGAGGAGCAGATGATGAGCAGAGCTGTCAGTCTCCTGCATCAGCAATAAATACAGCAGAAATCAAGCAGTGAGTCACTGCCAGCACCGAGGCACCTTTCAGAGGATACCTCAGGGGTCTCTGCCTTCCCCACCGTGGCTGTCACCGCCCTCCCCTCGGCCCTGGAGACTGGACAGACATCGGGGCTGGACTGGCAGCATCCTCTCAGCGCTGGCAGCTCGGGGGGAACCAGCACGGCACGGGGGGCTGAAGGCGGAATAAATGGGGATGGGAGTGAGCACCAAGTGAGCGTGGATGGCAGGGCAGAGGGGACAGGGCCTGATGGCTCTGACGGATGGCAGGGCAGAGGGGACAGAGCCCGACGGCGCTGGAGGATGGAAGGGCAGAGGGGACAGGCGCCTCGGGACTCTCTGAGTGCACAGTGTGGGAGCAGCCCCAGTGGGTCTGGGGGTAGACGGTGCTGAGGGGGCTCCCGTGGCGCCCACCGGGGCCGTGCCCGTGGTGACCCCTCACGCCTGAGGGCGGCTCCGGACGGGCGTGGGGGGACTCCGAAACCCGGGAGAGGCCCCACAGGCGCCCCGGGGGGACCCGGGCGGGGCCCGGCGGCACCTGAGGCGGCGGCGCGGCCAATCCCCGCTGGGGCGCGGGCGGCTCTGCCCGCCCCGGGCGCTGAGGGGCGAGAGGAGCCGCGTCCCGGCCGCGCCGCGCCCGCTCCCCGTCCCCGTCCCGTCCCCGTCCCGCTCCATGGAAGCGGCCAACGGGGCCGTGCCCGAGGGCGCGGCCGGGGAGCCCCGCGGCAGCGCGGCCGCCCCGTCGGGAGCGAAGGAGGTGAAGGTGGTGATCGTGGGGGACGGGGGCTGCGGGAAGACGTCGCTGCTCATGGTGTACGCCAAGGGCTCCTTCCCCGAGGTGAGGGGCGGCCACCCCCGCGGGGCTGGGGGGCCGCGGCCCGGGCCGGCCCCGGCTCCTGGAGCCCGCCAGAACCGCTCCTCGGAGCCACGGGATCAGCGAGGTGGGAAAAGGCCTTTGAGATCACCGCGGTCCTTCTCCTCCCTTTGCAGCAATACGCGCCCTCTGTCTTCGAGAAGTACACGACGAGCGTGACGGTGGGGAAGAAGGAGGTGACTCTGAACCTGTACGACACCGCAGGTAAGGGGCTTTCACCTTGTCCCTTCCATTTCCCCAGTCCCGGTCTGGCTGCCGGGGGCGGTTCCTGTGCGGCCCCGGGATGGGACCACTGGGGCACCGGCCTGGGACTGAGCCCAAACCCGGCCCCGGCCTTTCGTAACTGTAGGCAAATAACCAGAAACTGCGTTTAGTACTGTAAAATGTTGCTCCAGTGAGTGAGCCTCCATTTCTTTGCTTCTTCCTCTCCAGCAGACTTTGCTGTGTCAACTTAAACCAGACCGACATTTAAGGATTGTAAAGCTGGACAGATTTTCAGACTGCTTCTCTACCAGTGTGCTTTTAACATAATATCACAGTTTAGACTGGTGGAGATTAAAGTACAAACAAAACAACCACCGCTACCTGTTGCACACAAAAATGTGCCTTCCAGAAAAAAAAAGGGTCGCTGATGACAGCTCTGGTCATGGACTCATTCATTATCTTAACAACTCAGTTAATTCAGAAACACACATCAAATAGCAAACATATCTGAGGGTATTAAAACCCAGTTCCCAGATGCAAAGCATAATACAATCAACCAGGAAAATATTTTAATCTGCTGCCATGTGTGACTGAATAGGGAAGGAGAAAAAGGGCTGGTTTGTGTTCAAAATAAAAAGGCCGTGACAGTAAAAGTTATTTGAAAATGCTGATAGTCTGTTCAGGTTCATTTGAGGAACTTGTGAAATGGTTTGTGTTCAACTTCACTCAAAGTTCCCAGACTCTGTTATCCAGCTGCGCTCCTAAATGATCCCTAAAATTGACACGTGCTCCGTTTCAGCTCAGTGTAAATCATCTGTTTCAGTTCAAGCCTGTGGAATTGTTCCAAATTTACACCAAGACAAATAAGAACTGAATGCAGTCCAGTCAATTCAATAATAGTAAAACACACTTGCCATCCTGTATACTGCATGTGGTATCTGAAAAGATAATTTTAAAGGCTTTTCATCTAAAAGTGAATTTTATTGCTAATTTTTACTACAGGACAGTAAGATGCTGAGCACCCAGTTTGCTGTTGTATCTTCTTGTGTCAACATGATTGTTCTTGAGTGCAGTAGCTTCTGTTGAATGGCCAGGGGATTGTTTTTAAGTCCTAAAGGAAAAGAGGAGGGCTGAAATCTGGTGTGAGGAACCAAAGAGGGATTTCCTTAATACAGTGTGTTGGCACAAAGAACTTTTCGAGTTTTGTTTGCTGTCGGTGTGGAGTGTTTGCCTGTCACACAGTTCCTGGCTCTCATTTAAAATCACCATGCTGCAAATTCCAACATGTGCCTTTGGAGCTGGATCTGGAGAAGGCAGTGGGTAGGGCAGGTCCAGGATTGCAGCACTGAACTCCCTCCTGACCTAAGGGCCCGCTCCGTGCGTCACACAGAGCCCAGCTCTGCGCAAGACCCGCAGCCACCAGCAGCCCAGGGAGTGCTCCCTGAGCCTGGTGCTGGTGGCTTATCACAGAATCAGGATAGTTTGGGTGGAAAAGAGACCTTTAAAGGTCATCTAATCCAGCCCCCTTGCAATGGACAAGGACAACTTTATCTAGATCAGGCTGCTCAGAGCCCCGTCCAACCTGACCTTGAGTGTTTCCAGGGATGGGGCAACCTGTGCCTCGTTGTAAAAATTCTTCTTTTTATCTACTGTAAATCTACCCTCTGTTAGTTTAAAACCATTACCTTATGTCCTAGAATTTCCCTGTTCATGCATGTAATCAGCAGGCAGTGTGTGCCTTCCACATTTGGTTCACAGCCCTAAAAATTGTCCTGGACCAAAGCACTGCCCTGCTGGAGAACAGAGGGGTGTATTTTGTGTCTGGTGAGACACTTTAGGAAGTGGAGCTGCCACTGTTGCCATGAAAGAGCAATTGCTTTCCGTTTCTCACTTGGAAACCTTGAAACCGAACATGTTTCACCTTCCAAAACAGCACTGTGGCCACAAGGCTACAAGTTTCTAGAGGTTGCTGACACTTGTCTCCTCCCTTCCTGTTACATTTCTTTCGCTTTTCATGAGACACAGCAAGATAATCAGATGCAAAGAAAGCAGAGAGATTGTCACCTTGGTTAAGGCATTTGATTGGGAGGGGGAAATTTGGTTCCGTGTCAAGCTGTTTACATAGTTTAATGTTACATATCTGTGTCATATTCTAATTCAAGCAGCTTTTCATCCTCTTTCTGTAACTGGAAGTTATGCTAGAGGAAGGACTCACTTGAGCACACATTTTAATCCCATCCTGTTTTTAAATAATACAAAACTGGTGTTGAGTTTCTTAAGGGTTAGACTAAGACCAAGGCTTGTGTCCTGTCCTCCAAGTTCAAATAGTGCAGTGAGAGAAGAGGAAAGGGAGGGGAAGGCAAAGCTGTTCTTCTAAAAAGTGACACTGGATCTTCGTGATTCCCCCACTGCAGAAAAGACTTCAGTATTTATAGGATCTTGCTCAGAGCAACGCTAAATAGAGCTGTGTGTTCTTCAGCATCACGGGAAGGTAAAAGATGGGTTCAGCTCAGTTTAAAGTTAGAAGGGTTCTTTGTATTGTCAAGCCCTGTGCAGCCTGAGCCTTTGAGCTTGTCCTACTTTCTGAAGGAGAAGGACACAAACAGAGTGCCTAAGAATCAAACATTTCAAGCCGCTTTTTGTTGACGAGAAGTTTGGTAACAAGCGGAGCGAAGGAGTTAGTCTAAAATATCACAGACTAACAATTTTTGGCGAGACTTTTCTACTGTGCTGCTCTGTCTTCCTCCTCAGGCACCGCTCGCTGTTGCAGGAAGTTGGTGGTACCCACACGCAATGGGTAAAGGCTTTGTAACATCACTTGCCTCGTCTGCAAACAGGCTTTGCAGCTGCTTGCTCAGTTAAAAGCTTCCATTTCAAGCTGTGCTCCTCAGAGCCAAAGGCGCTGAGAAGTAAACGAACTCTAATTTTTGCATCCTAGGGGAGCAGTGTCAATGCTGTAGCTGCAGTTCAGACACAGGGCTCAGTTCCTGGCGCTGCTCGGTGCAGGACTTTCTCACTTTTTTCACGGGGCTGTGCTGGGCTGGGAGAGGCTGGGGAGGAAGTAATGCCTCATCATTGTGGGTGCTCGCTCTGCCTGACAGGAAGCACAGGCAAAGCCGCCAGCGGGGTTTTTCAGGTCTGGGATGACAGATGCACGACAGTCTCAGGCCTTCAGAGGAATTCTGAAAGCCAGTGAATGCAAGAATAAATTTTTATAACTTTGAAAGGGAAGTCATGCCTGAATAAGAAAAAAAACCTCAACTTTTTGATTGCAGTGTGCCCCTCCTGCCCTATCTGTCCTCTTCTGCTGGTTTTCTTCCTGCCAACAATGTCTGTTACCCAATTTTTTTTTTTTTAACTGAGTAGTGAAAAAACGCAACTGGTAACCTACTAACCATGGCATTCCCATGGAGCCCATGGAAGAACAAACCAAAGAGCACTGGGTGCATTTCTGTGTGCCTGTGAGGGCTCACCATTGCAGGGTTCCATGTGGATCCCAATGAATGGGGGATAGTACAGACAATGCGTGGCCGTGTGTAGGAAGTGCTTGTCTGGGCTGGGCTGGGAGCAGGATGTGACATTATTCCTGACCCTCCAGAGCTGGACAGCACTGCTGGACATGAGGGCAGCACGTACTGGACACTCCTGGGCTGTCAGGTCTTGACTCTCTCATTTACCCTCTCCTGGCAATGGGTGCTGAGCTCCTTTATGGACTGAGCAACATCCAGGCTGGAGCTTCCTTGGTGTTGAATTAGCAAAGGGTTGAGGAAGAGCAGACAGAGGTGAATGTGTATGTGAGACCAAGACCTGTGGTTTCACTTCTGCTCACTCTCACCCACCCCCTGAGCTCCCACCCCACTGCAGGGCCCCACTGCAGTGATGTGTGCTATGCAGCACCTCCCAGAGGAATACAGGAGTGGGAGCTTTGCAAAGAATTAGCAAATTTTAGGTGAATTCAGCTAGGTGGAGTTTTTTCTTTAAAAAAACCCCAAAGTCTCTGATGCTACAATGAATTGACAAAGGCAGAGGAGTTCACAGATGTGCTCACACATATGCAGATATTTAACCAACTCCTCTACAGTGTGCTTTTTGTTACTTGGGGAAAGAAAACAGGTACCAGTGTTTGAGGAAACACACACAGGGGCTTTGCATATACATTAAATTACTGTTTATTTTCAGCCCTGTTCCTTCTTTCTGGAACTATTCTAGTAGAAGACCTAAATCTGTGCCAAATTAACTCTGACCACAGTCTGAGCAGCTTTAGAGAGAAAAAGTCTCCCAGGCCCTTTCTTGCATTTCAGCAGCAGCACTTGAGGACAGGGGGTGGAAGGGATTGTTTTCAGGGAGAGGGATGTCTATGTTTAGGCACAGCTTGATCTGGGTCCCGTTACATCCTCAGAACTGAAGAGCTGCATCTGAGCTCTTAAAGAGCAGCTTCCTCTCCATCCGCGTGAGCTGCAACCGCCTGACCGTGACACGGGGGAAGCAACTGCCACCTCACCTTCCCCTCTGCTCCCTGCACTCTGCCTTGCTCTGTATCCAGCAGTCCAAATCCACACGGAGGTGTGTTTTGTGCAGCAGCATTTTTCCAATGCATTTGTTGTCTCAGTCTGCTTCATAACCCCTGTAACTGCACAGCTGCATTTGTAGGTGGAGGAGCAGTTCATCAGAGCATGTCTATAGTTTTTCACTTGCAATGCAACATAAATCACATAACTGAAGGTGCTTTTTCAGCTGTCCCATCCAGGAGAGTATGAATTTAGCTGTGTGTTCTGATTCCAAGCCAATGAGTGTGTTTCTCCCAAGGGGACAGTCCTGTCTGCCTCACGAATTGCCAACAACAACTTGGAGGACCTTTTGATTTTACAAGCTACGTTGGTAGAAGCTGAGACACCTGAACTTGAACAGGGAAAACCATACACAGCACTTGAGAAAGTTAGGAGAGGGAGAAAAGTTTGGCACATGATGTGTTTAATGCATTTAGAGGATTATCTCAGCAGTAAAATGGTAAATCAGTTGCAAACAAGTAGATGGATTGGGAGAATAAGAAGGGATAAGCAGTATGGTCTTTGCTCTGTTTATACAACATGCATAATTTTGTCAATTATTTCTGGATTAAACCTTGAGGAATCAAACCCTCTTTGTTCTGCACCTCTCCATGGAACACACTGCTCTTGCAGAAGCTCAAATACAAAGTGGTCCAAACCCAAGATTCCCGTTTCACAAACTTATCAGGCAAACTGGGTAACAGCTTATCCAGCAGGGATTGCCTTGGAATAACCTGCATCTCAACTGATCATTTAAATTAAGGAAAGGAGGAAAATATTGTGGAATCATTGGCCTTCTGGTATCTGCAGTTCTTCAGACTGGAGACAAACATGCTGGTAGTGATGAGTGGCTTGGGACTGAGACAGGTGCCAGGGCAGGAATCGTTGCTGTAAAGTTGGGGCACGCCGAAATTTTCCACATCCCTTCATTTGAAATATCAGTGTGAAGATTTGAGATGTGTAACTTGCCTGTAGGGCAGTTTCTCGGCTGTGTGTGGATTGTGGTGATCGTGAGAAGGGACAGAATTCCCAGTTCTCCTTTTGGAAATTCAGTACAACACAGAGACACACCTGAATCCAGCAGCAGCATTCAGGTGGCAAATACATCTTCTTACACACTTTCTTCCTTATTAAATGAAAAAGATTAGGGTTTTCCCCTGAGCTGCCAACCATACCTGGGAATTACTGCTTTCCTGAGCTTAATCTCTCAAGGCAAGGCACCTCCAGACCCCGGCACAGCGATTATTGCACGTTCATATGTACAGCAAGGGGAAGAGCACAGGTCTGAAGCAAATCAGCTTCCTCTTGTCACATCACGTGCTAGAATATCCCTAATCAGAAGTATGGCAAATCCCCTGCTTTTCCAGACTGCAGCAGAATTCCCTAAGATCTGCTGGGGAGTCCTGCTTCAAAGGCCAGTTAAGCCTGGCTTATGCTGCAGCATGGCTTGTACAAGCACGGCTTGTGCAACCCTGTGCGTGCTGCTGCAGCTGAAGGCACCGTGTGTAATCTCTGCTTCCTCTCATCCCACCAGCCTGGGAAAAGCAGGTTTGCCACTTTTTTTCTACTTCAGCATTTCTGTCTAGCAAATACAGTGTTTCCTCCCCTCACAGCGTCACATGCGCAAATGTATTTGGGAGAATGCAGCCACTGCCACACCGCAAATGTTTTAATCCATAACTGTCAGATTCCTCTTGATGACTTTGCTTTTGAGCAGCAGCTTGGCAATCAGTGTTTAGAACTGCTTCTAAGTCCTTAGCAGTGGATAAAGCAGGCCTTTTTTATTAAAGCCTGCCAAGGTTTAGTATTACTGTGATGTGTTTCATATCATAAACCATCAGCTTTGTCAGTGAAGCTCCTGTACTTAAGGGAAGGAATTTTAAAAGTATGAAAAAGTTGCAGTCTGTGCAATTATAGTGCCATTGTTCTCGGTCTCAGGTATGTGTCTGTGCATATTCCCATCATACTGCTCGTTCAGGACAGAGATTTCTTTTATCCAAACTGTTTTCTGTGTCTCAGGGCAGGAGGACTACGATCGGCTGCGACCTCTTTCTTACCAGAACACAAATGTCGTGTTAATTTGTTACGATGTCATGAACCCCACTAGCTATGACAATGTAGCAGCCAAGGTAAGAGCCTCTCCTAATTGCTTCAACCTTCTAAATGAATTACAGACGCCTGATATATGACAAGATGTCAGATTAAAAATGCTGATGCTTTTAGTGTCCTGTACCCTGGGTGTGTGGATGCACAGATCACTCATGGTGTGCTGAGCTGCAGGTCACAGACCTTAGACCTGGAGCTCAGCTCTCCACGGCTCAGAAGTGCTCAGAACTGGGGTTGACACACACTAAAAAGATCAAACAGCAGTGGTGAAATCACTGCTTTATCTGTAGTGATGTCACACAACCAACATTGCACACCAGCATTTTAGAGTCAAGTCTACTTCCATCACATGCATATTTAACACAGGAGAGAGACGAGAGCAACCAGCTGTCCCTACTGGGATTTCTGTAATGCTTCAAAGCTCTTGTACACAGTACCAGCAAAACAAAGCAAGACTTGGTCCAAATTCTGGTTTAAATATGACTTTAGAGGATCTTGTCTGAATTTAAACAGATGTTAAATAGGGGTTTTGGCCCAGTGACAGATGCCACTGTGTTTTTATACAGCAGCTGACTTTGGGTAGGACTTGTAAACATTTCTGTAATGTAAATAGTGCATCTTGGGCCCTCACCAGATAAACCACTCCGAAACCCTGAAATTGCAGCTTGTGTTAAATGCTGGCTCTGCTCTTTGGCTTTACTGTTTTGATTTCAGGAAACAAACCCAAAAGCCAGACGTAAAAGTTTTGTTTCTGTACCCCCAGTGGTACCCCGAAGTGAATCACTTCTGCCGGGGGGTCCCGCTCGTGCTCATCGGCTGCAAGACGGACCTGCGGAAGGACAAGGAGCAGCTGCGCAAGCTCAGGGCTTCCAAGCAGGAACCCATCACTTACAGCCAGGTGAATGCAGGGGGATTTAAAGGGGTGGCCCCTTAGCAGGAGGTAAAGCACACAGTAGTGGCACTGCTCCTCACCAGGACAATCCCAGACACTCCAAAATTAGGTGATCACAGTGCCCAGCTAAAGGAACCATTGACAGCCAGCACCAACAGGAGGTTCTATAAGTCCTTCTTGGAAGTGGCCAAATCACCATTTTTGCTTTGCCAAAGTGAAGAGAAATAACAGCATTTTGCATATTGTGGGGTGTCTGAAAGGACACTACTGTCTGCATATTTTATTCCTGTTACATGTCGTTCTTATTTCCTTTCACGGCTGGGTTATTACTCTTACCAATTTGTAAGCCTTAACAAGTTTGCTGGACTCTCTTTATAATTTTTATTAGCCTGCATTGCAGCCATCACTGGTGCTTTGATCAGGGTTGGGATAAAAACTGGAGACGGTAGAATACACATTACAGGATTAAATATACTGACTGTTCTGGAATAAATGTGGTTTGCAAACCACATTATTTAAAAATAAATCCTTGCAAGGAAAATAGCAAGAACATCTGCAAGGCTTCTCTAACACGAGAGGCTTCTTTGAAGTCTCTAAAGTAATATTAAAAAACCAGCGTGTTATCAAATGTTTTTAAGTATTTTGAAGCAGTGAGACTAATAACTAATGTTACATCACCAGTATAGTTATTCTAGGTACAGGAGAAAGTGATGGAACAGCTTGTCCCATGTCACACAAGACCTTTCTGCTCTGGTCTTCCACTTTTTCTTTTTTTTGTTGTTGTTTTTTTGCTTTTAAGACTACAAAGCCATCCTTCTCCTTTCACCTCAGAGCAGCAGCTCTTGGTCTGTTTGAGACACACGTCCAGGGAACAAGGTCAAGTGCACTCCGACCTTGGATGAATCACCACTTTTGCTAAAGAGCATGAAAATAAACTGCTACTGCATCACCACAAAACCATGCTGGGCCTTTTAGTTCTGTCTGCCTCGCACACAAGATGAGATCCCAGCCTGTCACTGTGAACAGCTGCACATTGTCCCTCATTTGCACGAGTAACTCCCTCCATCACCCTCACACGTGAGGCTCGGGGCAAACAGCAGACACTTCTGGCGAGTCTGCTGAGGCTTCATGCAGTTAAATTCAAGGGCCCACACGATGTACAGACTTTGTCTCCACCGTGAGCCCTCCCACTTGGTTCTTCTCCCCTGAAAGATGCACTACCTCAGTCTTTTACAGCTGGTGGCATCTTGAGTCACACAACACGATGCTTCCAATGCCAGGCACAGAGGAGCTGAACAGTCTCTGCCAGCACTGCAGCTTGCAAACAACTGGAAGGAGACAAACTGCTTAAATATGAAGACAATTCCCCCTATAGAAGCCCAAGTGCTCAAGTGACTCCACTCCCAGGGCTTATAATGAATAAATGCAGTCTGTGAGTCGTGAGGTGCAGACCTGGAATTCACAGTGAAAGGCTCTCAAGCATTCAAACCTGGGGGCTGGCTCTGCACTGACAATAAAAGGATCACAAGCAAAGTAAGAAATCGCTGTGTTTTGTCTGTAGTGATTTCACACAGCCAGGATTGCATGGAAACGTTTTAGATTGGAGTCTGTTCCCGTTGCATGCATTTGGGTGAGGCTGGGAAACACAGGCTCCCATTTGTGTACATGAGGATTTTGGCTGAGCCCTTGTGATGCCTCAGAGCAAAAGTCATGGTTCCTGCATGTTCACCAGCAAAACAAGGCAAGGCATCAGTCCAGACTCTGTTCTTGCATGTGACATTCATTACTCAAGGTGACATCACAGAGTAGTTAAGGTCAGGCCTGAAAAAAAATATCGCCATGTAGACATCTTATCCTCACTGAAGTATCTACCTCAGCAATTAGTTTAAAGAAATTCAATACTGAGAATATTTTTGTGCTATCAGGACTCTGCATCTTAAGAGTCTCCAGTGCTCTGAACTCTTAGCCCAAGCTCTGGATCAGCACAGTGGAAAAACCCCAAGTTTATTTACAGTGCTTCAGTATATTACTAATACCACTCACTCTGGCACTGCACTCAGAGGAAGCTTCTTTCTTCCTGACCCTGAGATACAAAGATGTGCAAAATAATTCCCATTTCTTCCCATCTCATCTTCCTTCTCTCACCCACCAGGTTTACATCTTTTCTTACCTTTTTTTGTTTGTTTGTTCTTTCCAGGGAGAGGCAGCTTGTCAGGAGATTAATGCAGAGGTTTATCTGGAATGCTCAGCAAAATGCCGTGAAAACATAGAAAATGTTTTTAAAGAAGCAACAACCATTGCACTGAATGCCATGAAAAAAGCCAAGCGCCACAGGAAAAGGAAAGTGTGCTCAGTGTTATGATCTGGACTGCACAAGAGCCAAGAGATTCAGGTTTTATAAATAGTTTAACTTTGAAGACTTTTTTTTTTATTATTATATGTTTGTATTCCTAGAACAATTTGTATTTTAAAATTTTAATTATTTTTAGTATTTTGCACTTTTGTTACGTTGTTCTCCAAGTTTTGGAAGCTCTTTGTCACAGTTAACTGATGCTGTGTGCCTCTGCCCATCTGGCTTTTGCTTCTAACTGCAAACAACTCCCTATTTAAATTGCAATGAACAGCAACTGCTACTGTATGACTTAGTGGCTTTTTTATTCCTCTGCAAAATAATTGTGGCACGTTATAGCTACAATTTGCTGTCATTTTCAAGCAGAAAAGCTGAAAACCCACATATTTTAGAAGTAGTAATATTTAAAGCAGTTTATCAGGCACCTTTGAAGAGACAGAAATGAAGTTTTGTTTAACTGTAACTGTACCTTTGTACAGATTTTGTGCAACTTTATCCTCTGCTGGTTACACGAGCAGCTGGTGAAGAACTCTCTTTTGGAGCAAGCCATCATTTCTGCTTTACATGCAGGGTAAAGACATCTTGATCCTTGAAAAATCTTTTGTTTGTTCTTCTCTTAACTTGATTTAATTAAGGCTTGTGAATCCCTAAGAGCTTAAAATGGAAAATTAAAAAAAAAAATAATTGCAAGTTTGTGCACGTTTGACTACAGAAAAATCTTGAATTGTGCAGCCTTTTCTCCACAAGAAGAAATCTGTCAGTAAAGAAACACAGCCACCCCTCACCTTCCCCAGTACAAAACTGAAACACCAACGCACAGGAAGTGACCACATTTACCATCAGCTCCCGTGGAAATCTCTCAGAGTTTTTAATCTGAGTTTCTCATGCTGCAGAACTCACGTTACTGATCCCTGCAGAACCAGCTCCACGCCTCAACATACAGCAGGTTCCAGCATCGCTCTCAAAATAAAGCAATTCTCATTTCATAAACTGGGAGTTCAAAGGCTTTAAAAACCTCACAGGGTGTGCAAAATTCAACATAACAAGATACAGCCCAGCCGGTGGGAAAGCTGTTGAAAATATTCAAATTGCAATTCACTGCTCATGCCCACAGGACAGTGACATGGCAAAGGTAATCTCGCTTGTTTGCAGCAACAGCACTGACAGAACCACTTCCATCTGTGCTGTGTCCCTGTTTCCTCACAAACACGGTTAGGGGGAGAAGGGCACCGTGTTCAGACGCTGCCCAAGGATGTGCCCAGTCTGGGCTTCGTGCTGGCTCAGAGGGAGCCTTCCCCTCTGAGAAAGGCACAGCCTAAGGCAGCTCAGGGCTGCAGCTGGCTGAGGATGCACAGACCTTACAGCACCCAAAACAAGGCTGTTTTCATGAGCAAGTTTAGGTTCAAGCAGCACAAGTTTAGCAGGAGGGCAGGCTGTTTGTCCCCTGCCACCCTCCTGAACCAGTGCTTACAAGGGCAGCATCTGAAGACAGCATTTAATATTTCTGTCCTCCCCTTTCCAGAATGCTGTTTCAAAAACCAACCCAAGGGCAGTGTGTGTGTTACTAAAAAGGGGCTGAAGCAGTTGCATATTGAATGGTTTATTTTAGGTCCTTTCAGGCCTGGACAGATGACTCGGTCTCCCTGGAAAAGGGATAGCAGACTTCCCTGCCATTTAAAAACCACTTTTGCTTGGCTTGATTTTGTTTTCTAAAGAGGATTTCTCTTCTTTAAACAGCTTTTTAAAAGTGTATATAGCAGCAGTATGGTACAAAGATGAGCACTTTCTTTTCACAGTACACACAGGTTTAGTATTGCCACTGAAAATATGCCTTAAACAAATGCCTTGAAAAACAGCATTCGCTCTGTACTCCTGATCCACCCAGAGTGTTCAGAACCCTTTGCAAATTCAATTACCAGAATTTAAATAATAAAACTGGAAAGTGTTAAATATCATTCCAGAATTGGAATTACAGTAGATCCCACATTCTTCCAGCGCTGGCGCTTTGCCAGGCAGGTGCATGCTGCTCTATATACAGAAAAAAAAAACCCAGAAGCAAACATGTTTTATATTAAATATACATAAATAGCAGGACTGCAGACTGGTGAGCCATGCTTGAGATAATACTGAGTCTGTGCTGGCAGAGTCCTTTGCCAAACACGGGGACAGACGAGTCCTCCTGAGCCCATCCATCCGAGCTGGGCTTTAGCAGGATCTGTCCCAAACCCAGCCCTGCTGCAGGCAGAGGGATGCACACTATGAATGGGGGGGGTTCACAGCTTCTTCACTTTGTCTTTGTTTTTCTGGAGTTTAGTGTGCACCACCTTGAGAGTAGTGAGGAAGTTCCCGAGGAAGAGCAGCAGGAATGTGAAAGCCAACACAAAAACCTGAGAGGGGAGAAGCAGCTGCATTTACTACTTTTTACTATTGGATTACATTCAACACTGCTGGACACAGAACAGGCCCTGTGCTGCGTTATCCTCAAATATTTAATTGGGGTCAGATGCCCAAATGTCTTTCAGGATGTGGTTAAACACCCCCTCTCCCCCCGCTCCGTGCTTTTTCCGAGCAGAGCCAACACGCACCTGCCATTCTTTGCACTCCTCGTGCCTTGACAATCCAAAAAGCGTGATTGCATTATACAGCTGCCAGAACTGCAAAGGCATAAAGAAAAAAAGGCAATTTCATTAATAGCAAAAAAAAAAAAAAAAAAGAAAGCCTGGAAACATTTGTGGTGGGTTTGTGTAACCCAAAGCACCTTCACGCGGTGCTGCGACGCTGCACCCAGGGGAAAATGGGACTGCCCGACTTACATGCCCGAAGAACAAGAAGGGAAGGAGAAACGTCAGCCCCCGCCACATCCAGGACTGAAATCCTTCTGGAAAAGGTTGACAGACGAGGCAGAGTGTGAGCACAGAAGAGCCAGGACTGGAGCTGCAGCTCTTCCCCACCCAGACCACCCCATAAGAGCTGTTCCCGTCCTGCTCTGCAACAACTAACCCAGTTGAAGGTGTGATAATGGAAGGAGGATGAAGATGGGGATGACCAAAACCTCCCTCTTGACCCCTCAAAAGCTGACAGAAATCAGATCCCTTGGCTCCCAACCCTCTGAGGGTTTATCCCAACTCCCTGAGGAGAGGGATAAAAACCTTGACCCCTTCAGGCCTTGGGCCACAGGCAGCAAGGCAGGGGGGCAGCTCTGCAGAGCTCACTCTCAAAGGCCACACAGCCCTCTCCCTCCCTATCACTGCATCCAAAACTTGTGCCAAAACAGTGCAAAGAAGGTATTGCAGCAAACCTCACCTACTGTAAGGTCCAAGTGGTTTCTCTCCCCCAAAGCCCGGAGCCTATAGAGGCAGCCCCTTTGGTAATAATACTGTAGGAACTGAACACAGCCTGGAGAAGGAGAGAGAAAACATCACTGCTTTGGCTATTCTGAAGTATGATAAACATCAAACTACTTTAATAATGTTTAATCCAAGAGCATTTAATTATTGCTTATAGTTGTAGATTGCATATTTGTACACTATCTTTATATTCCTGCAGTTTAACACTCCAGTATCTACCAAACGGAAGTGTTTTCTTCTAAGCATGTAAGACACAAAGTTACTTTATCCTGTGAATTAACAAGGTAAGAAATACTCACTCTGAAATATTGAAAATGCTAAAAACTGACTGCGAAACATCTGATACATGAGTCCATCCGGCCTGGAAGCAAAACCCAGGGGAGGTGCATTAGTTTGCTAAAAGCACATGACACGGTGCCCTTCCCCTTCACCACCAAGCCCCATCCCATTAGCAAACGAACCAGCAGCTGGTACCCAGCCCATTCCACCCCACTGGGAGCCTAGAAAGGTGCTACAGCCACACAGGAGACACTCTCAGTTGATTAGGAATTTGGAGCCTTAGAGGCTTTGCTACCACCACCCCAACTACATTGTAGGGTTTGTGTTTCTTTCTTTCCTTTTTTTTAAACCAGCAATGTAAATACAAACTTGCAGCGTTGTATTTATCACTGGAAACATCTGTAACATCAAACAAATATTAATTCTGACGCTCTGCCATGAGCCCAAGTGGCCACAGCTTCCCAAGTCACGCTGCATTTGAATGCTCAGATGACATAAACACCGTGAAACAGGCTTGAAGCACCTCGAGCAGGCGAGAGCAGACTCACCACGTCAACATCACTCCAGACAGGAACGTGGAAACGTAGTGATGGGACACCCACCAGCCTTTGATCCTGAGAACAAAAAGCCAAATGTGGCAGTCAAGACAAGAAACGTGGATTTCAGCACTGAAGCCCAGCTTGATGGACAAAAACGATCCTGCCTTGGGGAGGAGGGACAGGGAACAGAACAGTCAGCCCAACTCAAGCACGAGGGATGCTGTGAGAACACCGTCCTGGCAGTGTGGCTTAGTTGGGGACACAAATCCACGGAACTAGAGGGAGGCTCAGGACCAGGGCACGTCTCCCATGCTCCCATGGGCTCTCCAGCACATCCAGCAGCAGCAGTCCCTGCAGCACGAGGCACCTCCATGGCTAATGACACACAAATGTCAGCCCACACAGACTTTTTTCCCTGCTGTGGAATTAAGAGACATTTCCAAGGCCTTCCTATGAGTGGCTGGTTCTTTCAGACACGAGCACTAAAGGGAGCTCAGGAAACAACAGTAAAGTGAGCGAGGGCTGTGGTGGAGCAGAATCAAGAGGTGAAGAGCTGCTCCAGAGCCAGAGTTGCTTTGGAAACTAAGCCAACATGAGTTGATTTGGGGCATTTGGCCATGGATTGATTTGGGGTGTTTCTGACCAGAAGTGTGTGACCTCTGACACAAGGCAGCACACTTAACACCCCAGGCCATACCTACAAAACCCACAGCCACCACAGATATCCAACACTTAGGACCAAGAAATTAGGGACTTCTAAGAACTGCAACTTCTCTCTCCCCAAACTTCAGGTGGCCACATCTGCCCTTGGAAGCAACAAGGGGAGGGGGATGGAGACAAGACCCTGCAGGGAGGCATCAGCATCTCATATTTGCTGGGCTTCAGTGCCAAGCTGAATCCCCTTTTGTCTCTTGTTTTTGTTTTAAGGACATTTCATGCTCTCCCTGGGTTTTGCAGGTGGCACTGTACCTTGATCCATTGCTAATGAGAATGCTTTCCCGTATCGTCAGCGTGCAGTAATACCACACTAACAGGAAGTTAAACACTTCATCTGTCACCCTGTTAAACAGAGAAAAACACAGAGTTATAAAAAAAGAAATCCTGTCCGTTGCAAAGATACATTTTAAAAAGCCCTATTTTTCCTTCCTCCCCCTGGGGGAAGGAAAACCTGCCCGAGTGAGGCCACAGACACAAAGCCCCAGTCCTGAACGTCTCTAACCTGCAGGCAGAACTGCACACACACAGCACTTGAAGGGTTCAGGGCCTTTCCCCGCCCCGGGAAGTGCCCTGTGATATAACACTGCAGATCCTGAGCTGATAAGCAGGTATGCAGGGATGACATTAAGTCCTTCTGAAGGAGAGAAAGCACCATGGAGGCAGAGGATGATCCAATTTGGAAAGGCATTTCCAGGCTAATTCAGTGAGGAGATTTCCATGAGATCTATACAAATCCAATCAACTAAAAGAACGAAGAGCATTACGCTCTGAGGGGGAAAAAAACAACCCACCAGAACTTTATTTTGCCATTTGCAAACTCCTTGAAGCCAAGGGGACTTGGGGCAGTCTCTGTACAGGGCAGCACCGTTCCTGGTACAATCCTGCATTCACCCAGACTCACAGAGACCTCAGGGAAGCTCCTGGCTCCAACATCTTCCTGGCTTTTAAGCAACACTGAATACTGGAAGTTTGTTGGTGCTCAGACACTTATCACAACCTGGAGATCACGTTTCAGGTCTCATTATTTCATGCAAATCCTCTCTCACTGCCTTTGCAAACCCAAAGCTGCAGCACAGGGCCTGGGACTACCCATGAGCAAAAGCAACTGCTTGTTCCCAAGCACAGCATCATGCCAGAAAAAAAATCAGGAAACATGTTGTTGGACTCCTCTCAGTTACAAAAGACTCCCAAAAGAGTTTAAAAAGGCAAAACAAGTACCTAAAATACAGACCCTGCCAGAGTTGAAGAGGTGCAAAAGGTGTCCTGCTGTCCAACTGCCCAAAGCCTGAACACCATCAGAGCCCCTCTCACCGTCCTCAACAGGACATGTTAGTTCCAACCCAGCACGTTTTTATTCAAAATACTTGATTAAAAGTAAAAATGCAGCTTACCTATAGTGCAGAAAAAACCTGCAGGCGACAGCCCCAAGTAACAAGATTATTGTCAGATAAAGTTTGAACTTCTCGTACTCGTCCTTGTAGGCAAACCTGGAAGGGAACAGACACCGCTTATGGACACAAATGGGCGTTTGACCACAATGGGGCTCCACTTTTTTCAAACCAGACACAAATCCACATGCCAAGCCCAGAGACAGAGATTTTGCTGAAACACTTAGAAAAGCAGCAGAAAGGCAGAGTTCTGCCTGCAGGGAGGGTCTGTTCTGCTGCAGGACAATGGCTTAACTCCACCAGCTGGTTTCTGGGTTTAAAATGTATACAGATTTAAAATATATACATCTCCATTTTCTGCAACACTGTATGCCTAGAAGTCACAATACCATTTTTCATTTCAAAAAGACCCACCCCCCTTACAATCAGACCACAGGCTGGGCTGGGCTTAAAAGCAAGTGATGGACAAATTCAATTGTAGCTACATGAAGCCTTAGCTTGTCAACATGTCATGGTCCAACTTGCCCACCCCTGACATTTCACTTCTCAGATCTGAGAGAAACCCATTCCCCTCTCTGGACTTCAGTGCAGACCCCCAGCTGGCCCCAGGGAACCCAAATCACACGTGTGGGAACACTCACTCACTTTGCTTGGTTACTCAGGAGAGTTACATTCACGTTTCCCAGCACTAGATTCAAGTACAGGCTGGAAGACAAAAACCAAGAGCAGACCCAAGTAAGTTGTTTTATTTGAACGCCCCAGGATGACCCAGACTGAGTTGATGAGACAACTTCTCATCCAAAGCCACGTTTGCTGGAGGTTTTTAATTAAGGCAAACTGGAGGGATGAACCACAGAAGAGGATTTAAACATGGAAAGATCAGTCAGCATTTCCAAGAAGTTAAAGAAGAGGTTTATTTTCCTGGTCCCTTTTCTGCTCTACAGTCTAAGGGTGAGATACATAAAGTGCACTCTCCAAATCCAAAAATAACAGGGAGGAACTGGAAGAAAAGTTTCTGATAGAAACTTCTGAGGGGCTGCAGCATCACACAACGCTTGACAACTGCCACAGATCTGTCCTGGCAACCCCACCTGAAGGAAAGTATAAATGTAAAGTTGGTTGAAAATTTTATTTAAAAAAGAGAAAATTCTTGTGCTGATTCATTCCTAAAAAAAATCAGCCCGGGAAAACATCAGTGTGGACCAGAGAACTGCACAATCCCTCACCAATGCAGGTAACTTTCATTTTAACAGAAAACCTGCACTGCCCACGCACACAGTGCATTTACATACACTCGCAGCTCACGAATTCTGTGTACCACTGACACAGCAGCTCAGCAAGAGATTTATGACTAATCCAATTTTACATGTCTGTCTTCAACATGCACCTTCTCCTTCAGGAACAAACCGCTGAGAACCCTTGAAAAATCAGCCTTCCTGGAGCGTGCGCCTCCCCGGGGAGCACGTACCCGTTCTTCTTTGGCAGGTAGGCTTCCATGTCAAAGAAGGCATTCTGCCTCTCCTTGATCTGGCTGCTGATCTCCTGAATGAGAGCAAACTCCTCGGGACTCGCTCTGGGCTTGCACCTGCAAGAGCACAGAAACGAGATATTCCTGTTCACGCTCTCACCTCCTTTTTATTTAAAGGGGAAATAATGTTGTCATAAAATCCTCGCTGTTAAAAGAGCTGACTGTGTGAGGTGATGCCATCGTGCACTTTGCTCCTGTGTTTCTGCAGCACCATTTGGTTCGCCACGACTTTATTTCACTGCCAGGTTTATGCTACTGAAAGTTACTTCAAGCAGCTGGTTTATAAATCAGCTCAGTGACAGGACTGTGTGCTCTTCCCAAACAGAGCGCTTCGGGAATTTTGTGCTTCTTTGCAGAAACTCCTTCCCCCTTGGGAACTTGGGGAGTGGTTTCACACACTGCCCTTGCCGAGGCTGCAGCTCTTCAGGTATGAAATACTGCAGGATGTAACAGGACACAGAGCTGATGATTTACTGGCAAACTGTGGTTTTAGCAATTAATGTAAAACAGAGAGCAATGTGCAGCAGAGCCAGCAGCCCGGGGTGTTGGAGGTGCTGTACTGAGACCTGCACACCAGGAATTCAGCCTGTGGTTCCTGGGGATCAGCCAAGCAGCCAGAGACAGCTCCCTCCTGCAAATCCACCCAGGGGTTAAGTTACACCTCCAGGTTCGAGGATTGATGTTGCTCCTCCAGTTGCAGCCTATGGAGCAAAGCTTTGCTCACCTGGCAAAACCCACAGACCAAGAGCTGCAAGGACACACTGTAAGGATAAAACCCACACTGGCTCCCTCAAAATCCTTTGTTTACAGGACTCCATCTCTCATGCAGTTATTAATGTTTTACCTGGCTATATGGAACAACTTTAGCACTGCAACACATAGTGTACATTAAAATGCTAAAAATCCAGCCATTTGAGCCCTTTGGGAAGGAGAAACACACCATCCCAGCCTCCTCCACCCTCCAGGTCTCCCGTTACCTTTGCAGGCTGTGCTTCAGATCTTTCAGTGTCTTCTTCTGCCTGTGTATGGAGCTGCTGCAGGCTGTCTGCAAGCTGGTGACTTCTTCCAGTTTCTGCCTGTAAACTTTGTGTGTTTCCTGCAGGAGAAGAGGAGACAGGTGGTAGGAAGAGCCCTTCTAGGTTACTTACAGCATTTGGTCCTCCCCTCCGAGGGAAGCAAGCAAAGCCCTGGTTTTTGGCAGTCAACAGGCACCCCTGCACACAAGCAAGGCGGGGGCAATGCCAAGCCAGCACAGATCCAACAGGGCTTAAATGGACACTGATGAAATTCCTGCAAGAGGAAAAGCATCTACACTCATCTAATTTCCTCTTTCTAATGAGCTTTCCCACTCAGGAGCTCCTCACTCCCGTCCCACCCTGCAATGAAGCCCCTAATCCTTGAATCTCCTAATCCTCCAATCTCCTAATCTTCCATTTGATCCTGATCCATCCCCATCAAATGGGTGGCTAAATCACAGAGCAGGCACTCCAATTTCACAGCCAGATTAAATCTGGAGGGAAAAAGATGATGTTTACCTAAAGGGGAGGAAAAGAAGACACAAATCCAGGCCAGGGGGTTTAGGCACCTCGTGGCCACCACTGCCATCCCAACCCTATGGATGTTCCAAGCAACCTACTGCCCCATATTCTGGTTTAAGAAGTCTCAAGAAGGGCTCACCAGGCACCAAGCAATGACCTCTGGGCCAACTTTAAGATCTATAATGAGTTGGAAATCAGAGTTTGCAGAGTTAGTGCCAAGAGACAGCATGGGTAACATGGCTGTTGACAGGGCTGCTTCATCTATCAACACATCAATGACCACAGAAAATTCCCACTGCTTTTCCCAGAGCATAAACATGGTGGTAAAACCACACAAACCAAATCTTTGCTCTCCTTTGTCAGGACCCAGCTGGAAGATGCTTGTTATTTACAAGAACAAACCAAAACAAGCTCCTGTATCCGATTTAAAGACCTTAATAACCAAACTAACCACGTGCAGGCACTGCAGCTCTCATGGTTTGTGGTTCACTTTGGCTTTTCTTGGCATGGGCAGGACTTCAGGGCTCCCTGGATTGCAGAGTAACTCATCTTGCTTCTCTAGATACCAGGCAACAACATCTTACAAAAGGCTGATTCAAAGGACGTAAAAAGCCCTTTGCCAAAAAAGGGTTCAAGTATTTATTGAAAACACAAACAGGCGAGTTGAGAGCTGGTAAAGTCTACCCCCAGCCAAAAACATCAGGATAATGGTTTGAAAATGACACTGTTGTTTAGAAGAACATAACATTTGCTACCAGTGGCGTTATTTATTTGCCAAGAGAGATGAGTGCTTACAAGGAGACTCACCGACTGCAGGGTCTTAATCCAAATCTGGTGACATGTTCATACTCAGGGTTTAAATTAACAAACTGTTGCAGGGCAACTTGCATTTTTTCCCATGCCCCTGCCCCAAAAGTGAAACACCCCACGACCCTGAGCTCTGTCTCAGAGATGAGGCGCTGCCCTGGCAACCCAAACAACAAAAACCTGCAGATGTGGCTGGTTAGAAGAGCTTTGCAAAGCTGGATGTCCACAAGCCAGTGCTCAGTGCTGCTGTACAGCAGCATCAGCTCCTTCAAAGCGCCCCAAGCAGGAGGAAGACGCAGCCCCTGAGCCAGAACTTACAACGCAACTATAAAATACGGGACAAGGCAGGAGCGCAAAGAAACACAGATCATTCTGCCCCATGGGGATCAGCACTGCTCCCAACACCCCCAAAAAAAAAAATCTGACCACCACAATTTATTTTCCCTGCTGGCATTGCAAGGGAGACGCTTTTAGTGGGGGTGACCAGAGTACTTTGGGAAATACCCACAGAGAGCTCCTTCAAGCCATGAAGAGCAGCTCCTGTGCGGCCCTGGACCAGCATTTCCAGCTGGAGAGGAGAGTCAGGGCAGCCAAAAAGGGTGCTGACAGGAGGAGATGCAAGCATGGAGGGGGGTCAAGCTGCTGCCGGGGAAAACAGGCTCCTCAGGAGCAAGAGATGCTGCAAGTGCATCCAGAAAGCCACATGCAAGGGTAAGTAGGAGCGGACACCCAGATGGAAGTACTTTCTTACTCCAGAGTTGAGGTTTGACTTGAAGCTGATTCAGGAGTACAGGACCTTCCTCCAAAGCACATCTAAGCACCACCAGCATCTCGTGGAGCTGGAGCAGAGCCATGACCTCTCTGTTCCCCTCTTTTGCAACACATAAGAACTCTCTGATTGTGGATGTTATTCCAGCTTTTCAACTCTATGGTGCTAAATCACTGGCCAACTACACCTTGTGCCACCAGCAGCTGCCACCCCACTGAGAGGCATTTCTACTTTCCTTTCACAGGTGAGGAAACTGAGGCAGGGACAAGTTACTGACATTTTGCTGTGGTTTAGGTCAGACTCGGGTGATTGGTGAGGACAGTCAGCACACACAGAAAACAAGTGACCAACTAAACCACGCCAGCTGGTCTCCCCCAGCACCCAGCCTTTCCTTCTGCTAACAGACATGCAACCTGAACTGACTTTTAACTAAGACAGCAAGCTAAATCTGGAAATCACACTTTTTTCTTGTGTGCACGTTCTGTTTAACAGCCTAAAAGAGGCTAAAACAGCCTCCAGAGCGAGAACAGCCGGTCGTACTTCAAAACAGGCTTTAAGATTTAAAGCACGTGTACAGGTGCAGTACTGATGACATGCAGGGAAAGGAAGGCTTCTGGAGGTAAAAACATCTTGCAGAACAGCTCTTGCCCCTGCTCTGAGGCCCTTCTGTCCCTTAGTGCACTTTTGCGAGATGCAAAAACATCACTTGAATCCCTTGTACCCCATCACGGGAAATCAACTGTGCAAGAAGCTGGCAGAGCAAGCGCTGCTTCGGCTGTTCTTTGTGCCGTGCCGTGGGTGCACAGCCACACCAGGTCCCCCTTTTCCATCCTCGTTCCGGCCGTGGGAAGCGCGGCACCACGACCCCTCGGTGCATCCTCGGAGGTAGCTGAGGCATGGCCATGTTTCGGTCCGGGATGTCCCAGATGTACTCGTAGTACCTGCCTGGGGTACCGGGTGTTTCTGCCCCGCAGGGATGCGCATCCCCGCACCGCTGGGCACCGCGCGGGTACCCCGCGGCCAAGCCCCGAGCACGCGTGGCCGCCCCGGGCGTGGCGGGGGCGACCCTGCGGGGCTGCCCCGGGGCTGGGGGGGGACCCCCGGCCCCGCTCCTGCCGGGCCCCCTTCCCAGCCTGGGAGCCGGGGGGTAGAGCCGGGGCGGGCCCCGCGCCAGGATGCGGAGCAGAGCCGGGGAAGGGCAGTGCGGGAGAAGCCGCAGACGCGCGGCCGGGGCGAGGCATCGCGATGCCCCCCGCATCCCGGCGCCCGGGAGCCGCGCCCCCGCGGCGCCCCGCTCACCTGGAGCTGCCGGAACTCCTCCTCCAGCTCCCGCCACTCTTCCCGGCCCCGCTCCAGCTGGTCCCTCATGGCGCGGGGCCGCGCCAGCTCCGCCGGCCCGCGCCGGCGCGCGCCCCCCGGCCCGCGGGCCGCGTGCGCCGCTGACGTCATCGCGCGCGCGTTCACGGGCGCGGCCCCGCGGCGGCGCGCGCCACGGCCCCGCCCCCACCCGCGCGCGCCCGCCCCGGGGGGAGGGAACGGCAGGTGAGGAGAGAGCGGGACCCGAGGAGAGGGGAAACCCACGGCTGGGGCTCCCTCTGGCCAGGCATCTGCTCAGGTGGGGGCTTCCCTCTGGCCAGGCATCTCCTCGGGTGGGGCTCCCTCAGGTCAGGGATCCCCTCAGCCAGGGCTCCCCTCAGGTGAGCGACCCCTCAAGGGAGGGATCCTCTCCATGAGGGTGCGCCTCAGCCAGGGATCCCCTCAGGTGAGGGCTCCCCTCAGTTGCTGCCACCCCTTCCCCTGCTCCCCTCCTGGGGACCCTGCGCCTCTCCCATGTCCCTTCATGCTGTGGCAGCGCCTGAAGTGCTCCATGAAGCATCTTCCTTCCCCTTCCTTCCCCTTAGGGGTGAGTTGTCACACATGGGGCTGAGAATGGAGACAAACCCCTCCACGCACAGGGATGGCCCTCTCTGAGGGACCTGCTGGCTGAGGTGACCACCCAGCCCTGCAGCTGCCTGGGGCCCACCCACGGGTCCTTAATATCAGAGAAAAAGGCAAGAATATTCCTGATCTCTTCATTATTACAATAATAGCCCACTTAGGGGCTGGGCTGGCCAACTGGGAGCATGGACACGGTGCTTCTTGTCCTGTGGGTTGGTTGTGAAAGGGTGGAAATAGGCGAAGAGGAAGAAAAAGGGAAGAGGAAGGAAGCAATTAAAAAAAAATGGTACAAGGGGGAGGGGAGGAGTGAAGCCAAAGTAAAAATACAAGTGCAATGCTGTCTTTTCATGGAGAGTGTATGTGGGATCCCGTTTCCTTGGATTTGGTGTAAACAACCAAAAACATTGGGTGTAGAGACACTCCTCAGTGTTCCTGCTGTCCCTGGTTCTTCTCTAGGTCTGTATTCACACTCTTTGCTTGTTTTGTGTCCTTTATGCATGTTCTTTTCATACATGTGTGCGTAGACACCTGAAATGCGGTCCATGACCTGTTCCCTTGTTTCCAGAGAAACCTGCTCAGAGCTTGCAGTGGTTGGGGATTTCTATTGGTTTAGGAACCACCAAGGCCAGGGATGTTCCGTTGTCCCTGCTGCTCCTCCGGTGAGGCCGTGATCATCCACGGATCAAGCACGTGTGTTGTGGCTGTGATAATCCTGAAGTAGAATAAACAACTAATCAACGCAGTAAAAATGTCACAGGAGTGTGCCATGCCTGCATTAAATTTTCCCAGATTCTAGCATTTGTCCACAACCCCACGTAACAAGAGTTTGTGTTACAGGAAGCCTGGATTTTGGATTACACAATTTAGAAGGGAAAGGATCACATCTCGGATCGCAGCTTTGATTCCATGCTGGATATGTGACGAAACTTTCCAGTTCACCTCAAGGTTAGAGTACTCCCTACCAGCCAAATTATTTCTCCTTCCCTCATGAAAATATTCCCTCCTCCTTTGCAGTTACTTTGTCAGTTCAGCTTATGACAAGGTCACCCCAAAGATGTAGCTGCATCTTACTCCTGGCTGTTGAGGGGGTTTGGGGTGCTGACACCCTCATGAAGAGCTGGAGGAATCCAGACTGGACCTTATTTTCTTTAAGTAAAAACATTTAAGTAGAAACACTAACAGTTCAACTGCTTGTGTCAGTCCTAACATTCAGGGAAAGTTACTTCTAGGATACATCATAAATTGTAAATAACCCTTAAAACTCTTCCTTTCATTGCTGAGCTATAAGCCTCAAAAGGGCTGAAGAAAGCTCTTCGTATCAGCCATGAATGTTTGCCCTGGGTTTAATTCTGCAGCCTGATGACATTTCTTTAGGGCTGTGGCAGGTGCTGTGTATACAAAGGCAGGAAATGTTGAGCATTTCCCACTCCGAGCTGTGCTGGCCCTGGAGCTCTCCCAGAACACCAAGGGATCACCAGACCTTTATTCCAAACTTTCCTGCCTCTCCCCTACACCTCTTGACAAGGAACAATTCTTATCCGTGTCGTGGCTGTGTATGATTATAACCTCAAAAGATTTCCTTCAACTTTTTAATTAAGACACGCTAGTTAATATTGATTCGGGAGATGTGTATTTTCTTTAACGCAGAAAACATGAAAGAATTTCACTAAACACCAGCAATGTGAGTGTAGCACAGTTGGCCTTGCAGCTGGTTCTACATTATTTAATGCTGCACCATGACAAAAGATTTCAGAATTACCTGTAATCTCTCTCCACCTCCTGGGAGATTGTAGTTGTTTGTTTAATCTCCTTATTTCAATCACATCTTTGTGAGTAAAACCAAAGCAAGATAAGGTAACAATGAGCTTTTTTTAACTGGATCTAGATAAGTTGTTTATTATAGTGCATATAATTTTACTCAGTAGGAACGGAAACTACAGATTGTAATTAAATTGCAGACCTAAGTCATATCTTCCCAATCCCAAGGCTGGGGACATGGGGAAGGAATGCTGGAAGGGCAGCAGGGGTTGTGTCTCATCAGGCTGTGCTGGACAATGTCCCTCTCTGCCTACAGCAGCAGCTCCTGCAGAAAAGCCATTTTAAAAAGTTCAGTCTTTGGGCATTACATTTCCTATCTGAATTAAATGTTTATTTTGGGGAAAAAATAATTTAAACTCTCTCCTTATGGAAAGATAGGAACAATAGAGTCTGAGGTTTTATTTTTTATCTGACTAAAATGCACCCCTAAATATCTGCACCCATGGCACTCAGTGGGCAACCCAAGACCTTACTGGACTATGATAAAAGTGCATCTAGGTATCTTTTTCTAGGTATCTTGGCACCTTTTAGTGGCTGTTTGCTGCTGCCAGAGATCATGTAAGGCCATTGCACGGCAGATCTACAGACACGAAATCTCTGCTTTGCCTTTACCTTAATTAATCCCCAGCTCATCAACCATTCACTGCCAGAGAACATATCAAAGAAATTGAGTTAATAAATTGAGTTAAGGATCACAGTGAAACTGTGACTGTTTGTTCTTTTGGTGTTAGACTTGGTTGAGTACACGTAGTTATGTATGTACAGTCACATGTGAGCTCCTTCCCCTCACCTTCCTCCACCCTGAACGCAAATTCCATTCATTCTTTTCTCTTAAGATAACTGAGGATGTTTCCTTTGATGCTTTTTCCCTGTCCTAGAAATGCAGATTCTTTCCAGCACAGCAAATGGGAAAGGACAAAACATAAATGCAGACGAGTCCCTGTTCTACCATCAGGTGACAATAAACCATGATAAATAAAATACTTGGCTCATGTTTCAGCTGGAAATTGATACTGCTGATTCATCTTGTATTCATCTGGAGTTATTTGTCACTTAAGGAACAAATTAAGGACTTCAAGTGAAGCAGTAGCTCAAGTATGGCCAAATTTATCTGCCTCCAACAGTACTGAGAGTCCTGCAAACTGCTCCACAGCTGCACAGTAAATAATTCTCAGCTTTGTGTGACTTCACTAATTAACATCATAACTCTACCTTTGAACCTCTATCTTGCTGCAGGTAGTTAAGTAGAGACCATTAGCTGTAAACCTGCAGCAACAGAAACTCCTGGGGAGAGGGTATCTGATGTCAGCTCCAAGGACTTCAGCCTTTCACTTTGCATGACTATCTAAGTGCCCCAACATTCCAGATAACCCAGGGCTCTTACTTGGGGTTGTTTTGCTGTAAAACCAGCATGATTTTTATCTTGAGAGAGCTGCTGCCAGCAAAAGGGAGGGAAGAGTTTTAAAGAAACACTTCCCCGCAAGGCTGCCTCTTAAGCCAGAGTCAACCAGTGAAGTTTGCACCTCCACCCTTTCACTTCAGTCCCTCCTAAATCCTGCTGATAACAATTCTTAAAAGCAGAGTGGTGGGGAAGCTCCTTCAGCGCTGCACCCACTCCGTGCTCATCCGGCTACACCCGACACAAGCTTGGTTGGAGTCCCAAACCCTCCCACCTCTTCCTCTGGCTTTTCTATTGAATGTAGCAGCAATAAAACAGGCATCTGAGCATCCTACTTCCACAGTATGTTGTTGTCACATTCTTCACCTTTAAAGAATTCCAGCATATGTTTCTCTACATGCTTTTTCTCTATTTATTCTACAAAGTTCCCAGAATAAATTTAAATTATTGATTCTGACAGTTTTCAGTTGGTTTGGGCATTTCACTTGGGTGATTCCCCAAGCTTTGTGAGAGCAAACTCAGCTCAGAGCAGCTGTCTCCTTTCAGTGCAAAAATGATTGGTTTCTGATGTAGAATACTGAGGGCCTTTAGTTTTATAGGGTTTTTTTAAATCTTACTCTTTAGAATGAAAAAAATGAAGGTTCATCATGTGTCCATCAGGTGTCACAGGGCCCTGCTCCAGAAAGGCGTGTTTCCAGGAGTGTTTCCACACACATCCTCCCAGTGCTTGGTTTGCTCTTCACTATATCCATCCTGAAAGGAAGTGGAGAGCTGAAAGCCCATGGCCACAAACTGTGTTGGCAGAATAATGGACTGAGTTAGAGCATAATTCACATGGATGGATTTAACAGCTTCCTTTCAGTCTTAATAAATGTAAGGTTTAATCAACTGCCAGACAACTGGAGCAACAACAGTGCCAACAGTAACAGAACTGAAGCCCTGTCACACCCTGGTGAAGGAGTTTACTGGTGCTCCTTGGTGTCAGTGACCAAAGTCTCTGAGAGTGAAACAAGAAAAAAAAACAACACACACACAAAAAATAGCCAAGAAGGGGATTTGGGGCTAGATTTTGCTGGAAAAGCCAGAACAAGGGGAATTGGATAAAGGAAAACCCAAATTCTCCTCCTAGTACATTATAACTTGGATTTTGACCCTACTTATCATAGTGACCACAGTGTTGTGCTTGGAAAGGACTGCTCCTGGGAGAGGGAGAGGTTTGGTTAGGGTATTTCAGGGGCAGTTCAGGTTTATATCTCACTGTCTGACTGAATTATATATTCTAGATATCTGGCACCCCTCATGAAAATTATGCCCACTCCCTACTTACTAATGGGGTTCCTTCTCTCATAATGGAATGACATTTTCTAAGTGAATTTTCTCCTCAGTGAGTCAAAAGAACCTTCTGATAAAGCTTCAAATATCACCACCTTCTCTTCAAGCTGGTCTAATTTTGCCTTTTTTTAATGAGAAGAATACCCTTACATTTCCCCACTCTGTACCCTCATAATACAAAAAGGTACAGAATGATATTAACAAGTGACAAAATAATTAAGTGTGATTCAGATGTTCCTACCTGGACTAAGAAAATGGGAATCACACACAGCCTTTTCCCAGATAAATGTCTCTGTGAAGCCTCCTTGGTGGGAGCAGGAGGGTCTGTGATAACCCACTCTGGGACCATGGAACTAAAATAACAAACACACAGAGACCTGGAGCAGAAGGATTTAAAATAAGTGACCCAGAAATTGAGGCATCACCAACCATTTCCCTCCATCATATCCAGACACAGGGGCAGTTTTTTGATCCCAATTTGTGCATTTTAATTTTGTTGCTAAAGTGTTTTAATTTTTTAAAAGCCTTTATTGGTTTCAAATGTATATTGAGTTTCAAATATGTCTATCACTTCTGGTTAGTAAAAGCCGTGGTTCAGTGAGGCACAGTTTGGACTTGCAGTTCAAAAACCTCAGGCAGCCTGTACTGTTTAAAAATAAACAAGTGAAATGGTCTGAATTAGCTAATTATCTTAATTGCCAAATTCTCAGTTAAGTGCAGTGAAATATAGGGGCTGAAATATTAAAAATAATTAATACTTTTCCAAGAAGGGCTATTTTTGGTTGTAATTTAAGGCTGTAGCTTTTGGGCTGCAATAAGCATTTTTTCTTCTCCCTAATGGATTTTCCTCATTTCCTCCCCAAATCCCTGTTCCCCACACCAGCCCTTACAACTGGCCACACTCAAACACAGGAATGATTGTCTTCAGTAATTCTTGGGCTTTGCCCCAAACCAGAATGTGTTCACGTGAATGAGTGGCAATAAATCCTTCCTGAACATCTTCATCTCCTTTTTAAAAACAGGAAACATTTTCTCATGTATAAGTGTTTCCTAACTTGGTCAACTTCCATAGTTTTCTTTCTGGTTCTCCTGCTGTAAGTTCCACCTCTCCTACATCCCTGGATGGCAGCTGCCATCTTCCCAGTTCACCAGAAATTCCATGCTTGTCTTTTTCCGTGGTGCAGATCTCCCTCCATCATTTCCACACCAGCTCCTCTGTTGGCTGTGGATCACCTTTTCCCTCCAGCCTCTTCATTTTCCTTCTCCACCTGATTTCCCAGGCAGTGGCATTGTCTCCTCTGGCTCCATGGCCCTCACATGTGTCGTGGGAAATGGAATATTTCAGTCACACTCACATTTGGGATAAGCCCATCCCTCTGTCCTGTCTGGGCATGGACACAACATTCAAGCCACATTCAATTCACTGAAGATGGCAAACAAACACCCATCAGGGCAGACCAGGCTGTGTCTCACCTCCACGGAGGCGGCTGCTTTGTTTTCATCACAAGATTTCCCACCTACCTCAATATTTTAACCATCCAGCCTGCCGAGCTGTGCACGAAAAATGTGCCAAAAGGATGAAAATCAAATGCATTTGGCTCATGGGAGTCATAGGAGACCTTTGGTTTTATAGTAGAAATGTGCACAGTTAATTACCCATTAGGGAAGATTATTACAGACACCCACAAGGCCATGATGGCAATCGCTGCTCGCTGTGGCTGTGGAAGAAATGTAATGGATGAGGGAATTAGTGTCAGCTTTATTCAAATTTCTCCTTCAAGACCTCTGATGTGCATTTTCAGGGGGTTTCTCCTTTCCTCTGACATTTTCAAGGCTGATTTATTAGTTACCCATCAGTGCTGTAATCAGTGCTCTCGTTCCCAGCCTTCTGCTGCCGGGCTTACGAAAAACCAACCGGAGGTGAGACACTCGTTGCTTATCAGCACTTTGTGTTCTGCTGGAAAATCCCGATCTCAAGACACGTAGCTCCATCCGTGGGGAGCACGGTGTGATCGCTCGTGTCCCGCCGCCCTCCCTGCCCGCCCGCAGCCGCTCCGCTCGCTCCCCGGCCCTGCTCCCTGCTCCAGCTCCGCAGGAGTTTGGCACGTTGCTATGACGACCCCGCCGCTGCAACAGGCAGCACCCAGCGGGCTCCAGCACAGGTCGGTGCCCGCGGTTTGGCCCTCGCGGTGGGGGCGGCCGGACAGCGAGGGCCGAACGCGGCTGGCAAAGGGACCCCGGCGCAGGGCAGTGCCGTGGGGCCGGCTCACCGCCAGGGCTGAGCTCAGCCGCGACATTCTCGGGGCGGGGTGCGCAAGGGGACACGGTGCGGTGGCAGGCAGGGTGCTGCCAGGGACAGTCAGCAGCCGCTTCGCTGCAGCAAGGTGTATTTTCCTCTTGCTTTTCGTTAAGATGTAAGGCGGGGAAAAAAAAAAATATTTGTAGCTCAGTCGCACTGCTCTGAAGTTCTGCGAAGAGCCAAGGGAGAAAATAGGCTTCCTGTAGGGCCGTGCAAACTAAAGGTCCATTTTAGCAGAAACCAGACAAAACTGGCAGAGCAGGGTCTGGAGGAGGATGCGGGGGTCTGTAAGAGCCTCAGCCCCAAGCGCAGCGGCAGAGCCCCTGACCCCCGGCACCGAGAGCTGCAGCCGGAGCGGCTCCGCAGCGCCTGCCTCTCGCTGCCTGGCCGCGCCCTCGGAGTAGGTGGCTAAAACATCCAGGGCGGCGAATACCGACTGCGTTATCACTTACGCAAAACTGGCATAGCTGACGTAAATTTGGAAGGGGATTCAACAAATAAGGGGGGGTCCCGGCAGCCCACATTACCCCGGGTGCTCTGCGCGGGCTGTGCCTCGGAGAGCCTGGCGAGCAGATGGAGGGGTGCTGGGACTGCCCCCGCAGCTGGGAATCCTCCCTGGAGTCTGTAAATCCCAAGCTTTGAGCTGAAGAAATGGTTGGATGCGGTGGTGGGAGAGCGATGCTCCCATCTGGCAGGGGTAGTGAAAAGACTTTTCATCAGAGCCGGTGTCGGGGTGGGTGCAAGTAGCTGTATCTTGGCTCTTCTCCCCCAGCAAGGGGAGGACAGATACAAACAGGCAACGTGTGGCTCTGTGTCCTGTAAACCCTCAGCCCTTGGCAAATACCGCCAAGAACCCCCCTCTCTAGGGGCTGCAGCACCCAAAGGCAAGGGAGGACTCAGCAGTTGTGCTGTATCCTTGTTTGTATTGCTGATAAACCATCCTCTACAGTGGGCTGGTGTCACACCAAGTGACAGATCCTGTCCTCGGTGGCCTCAAAACAAGATGCTCCTCAGCTCCTCTCCTCCCACGGCACCCTGCTTGGAACCTTTCCCCCTCCCAGGTCTGAGCTCACCGTGCGGTGCCCGGGCAGGTTCCCCAGCCCTGCCTGCGCTCCCCACAGCCCCACGGTGAGGAGCCACGTGGGATGGGCACTGCACAACTCAGCTGCATTTTGGGTGGGAAGGCTCATCCTGGACACGTAAAGCACTTTCTTCAGCAATGATATCCCCCCATTTAGCTATGGAATGATCATTTCCCACAACGGTGTGAAGAGCTGATGATGGACGCTAATGTATTTTCTTAGTTATAATTTCTAGCTTTTATTCCCTAGCAGTGACCTGAAGTACCTTCCTTTCCCCTCTCCTCCCAGCTTCCACACTTTTCCCCACGCCGAGGTCCTCGCAACCCCCAGCACAGCAGGAACCAGAGCTTTGCTCTGCCGAGAAGGGAGAGACGCAGCGAAATCACTCCATATGGCTCAGTCCAGCGGATCAGGACAGAAGGGGGAGCCCAGGAGACAAACTCGGAGAGCATCCCAACCTGCCGGGCCCCAGCAGAGCTCTGGATGTTGACGGCATTCCTAGAAACTTGCTTTTGTTTCTACAGCCCCCATTTGGCATTTGTTTATGGTTTATAGGAGACCACTTTCACCTCTGAGTCTGTTCCCGAATTCCCACTGTGCTGAACAGTGCCCAGAAATCACCACCGTGCTGCACTCCAGCATTCTCCTTCCTCTCTGTATTGATAGGCCAATACATCTTCTCCCTCCTCTTCCCACATGCTGACCTTCCCCTCTGGACCTCTGACACCTGAATCCCCTCCCTCTGTACCCGTCATCCCCTGCCTGCTGTTCATGCTTTAACCCCATGTCAAACTCAGAAGTCCCCTCCTTGGCAGCCTGATCAGCTGGCGAGCGCTTGGCCTGCCCTGGGCGAGTCTGCAGCCTCCTGGGAGACAGAAACGTTGTGGTTTCAACCCCTTTTAACAGACCCCTGCAGGACAGTTATTTTTAGCAGTAAAGGAGCCTGAGCTGCATTGCTGGGGGTATGAAGCGTCCCAGCTCCAGGTGGGCCTCTCCCTGATCCATTCTGTCCGTTCTATGGAGGAGGAGATGCCTTTCCCTGCACTCCCCAAGACCTCTGGCAGGTGCAGAGACCAATGCCCACCACAAACCTGACCTGCCTGAGCCTTATTTAACATTTCCTAACAGGCCAGGCAATGCTCCAAGCCCATTGTCACATAGTGCTGGTTTGTACTTCAGTATTTTTAGCTCTCTCCTGTTGTATCTCTGTTTTACCCCTCCAAAGCCAGGCATCAGTTAGTGACTCATCTGCATCTTAAGGCATAGCTCACATATACTCTTCTGCCCATACCTGCCTTAGTAATTTCTCTCTAATTTATTTCTGATAATCATTTGGTTTTTTTCTCCAGACACCAGCAATATGCCCATTGTGAAGTACCCCAGGGCTAGAGAGCCCCTCTATTATGAATGGGACAGGAAGGCCCAGAAATGTGGGTTAAGACACACAGTTTTTGCTGTAAATGGGGATCAGTATACTGGAGAATGGCTGAACAACCTGAAACATGGTAAGACACATAATTCTGAGGAAAGGTACTGATTTAGATGTCCTTAGAAAGGTTCCTAGGGGCAGGGAGCAGTCAGTGGTTCTATATGCTCCTGGAAGAGTATTCATTCTTGTATGACTATATATATATATATATCTTTGATATATGTAATGTAAAAATGCACTCAGAGACATTTCTAACTTCAAGAGCTTTTGCATGCACTCAGGGCAATTACCCAAAATAACTCTCTTATAGATATTTAAAAATCCTCTCCAAACACAGCAAACTGCAATGCGCTCCATGCACTGGGATGTGCCCTGGCTGCACAGTCCCTGCAGCTTCTCAGCTCCTGACTTGGCTTCAGGAATCTCAGTTTATCCTCAAGCTGTGGTGGGTGCTGCAGGAGACAGAGCAGGGGAAGGAGACCCTGACCGAGCCCTGAGCAGCCGGAGCAGGACAGACTTGTTTACAAGCAGTAAAACGAAGTTTGGAAAGATTAAAGTGCATTCAGCAAAGGCCACACAGGAAGCCCCCGATCAAGATTAACGATGGTTCTGACTTGGGAAGCTAAACTGAATCCCAGACATGAGCCTGACCCAGTGCAGGGATGGAACAGGAAGGCAGCCCTGGACACCCTTCTCCTAAACTCCCCAGCATTCCTCTTGTCTGTTAAACAGGTAAAGGCACCCAGATATGGAAAAGCACTGGAGCTATTTACAGTGGTGACTGGAAGTTTGGGAAGCAGGATGGTTATGGCTCATACAGCATTCCTGACCCTGTAACCAAGGAATACAAGAGGATGTACACAGGCTGGTGGAAAAACGGCCAGAAAACTGTAAGTGAGATTTCCTGCATGTGCCAGCAGTGAGGCAGCGTGACCCAAAACACGGGGAAGGGTTGGGTGCACCTGTGCAAAAAGATCACTTCAAATCCTAATTTGCCCAATACTGAGGCTGAATTGAATGGTCAGGAGTAAAAATCCATGATTTTTACGGGAGTGCCATTTCCCTGCTGGACTGATCCCACTCATACCCTGGTTATCGGGCTACAGCCCCAACCAGCTGCTGCAGAGCAGTGGTTACTGCTCAGACTCACCTGCAGCTTGGCCAAGCAGGATGAGAGGCTTCATATCCCACCTCTTAATCCTCCCTACCCATCCCTTCCATTCCTCTTATCCTTGAAGTAATTGGAGGAACCTGTATTATAAGCACTGCAGGAAAATGTACCTTATTCTGTGAGTTTTACAGCATGTTAGACAAATAACATGAGTTCTTTTAGAAATTAAGCCTGTCACGTAAATCACTGGTTTTTCTAGAAGGAATACAATGAGAAAGTCATCTGGTACAAATGACTGCAATCTCATGTGCAAAATCCTTGTAGGAACGTTTTTGGATCTGCCAATGGAAACCTTGTGCTTGCCTTTGTCTGCTCTTCAATTAAACTAATCACCACCAATGCCTGTAATTGGTGTGTGGCTCCAGTCTCTCGGAGGGAGCTTCTCCTCCTCTTCTTTCAGGTTATATTTTGGATAATTGAGCTTGGGTGAAATGACATCCAAGTATCTCTAGGGTTGGCTTTTCTTCTACCAAAGTTTTTCCTGTACCTTCATGCAGTTTAGTAAAATCAACACTCAAAATCAGTTATTTCCAGAGCTGATTTTATTGTTTGCTCAGAGATAAATTAACGCTTTATTCCTATGGGAAAACTCACTAGTGATATGGAAATATTTCTTACTGGTATAACTCCCTGGTATAGGGGGTAACTCTGGACTTCTCTTAATGCCAAGCCCACATGTAAGATAAACAAGGGATGGAGTTGCTCAGGTGGGACACTTTGGGCTGTAGGAAGGAAGTGTCATCAACGTTGAAAGGGATGAAATCCCCATGTTGAGAGACACATCCTTTAATGCTGCCTCTATCCCCAGGCAGGTTTATATACTAGTAAAACCCGCTTTTAGCTAAATATTAGCAGCAATCATGCCAATAAAAACACACTGAGATATAAACCCAAGAGTTTGTCATGGGAATAAAACCATTTGCCAAAAAGAATCCCACACTACCACCTCTGGTTTCCTTCAGCACACAAACAGCCACTGAGCTGGGCTGCCACATGTGTAAGAGCAATAAACAAAGGAACAGTGTGTTCAAGAGATGTCCCAAAACTGGGACACTGACCCCTTTCAACAGCACAGCTCCTCACCAGCCATCTCTGTGCTGCTGTCCAGGGCCAGGGGGTGTGGTTTTACCCCAACGGGGAGCGCTACGAGGGCGAGTGGAGTGGTGGAGTGCGGGGCGGCTGGGGACGGATGTACTACCGGGATGGATCCAGCTACGAGGGACAGTGGGAGGCGGATCAGCCCAACGGGCAGGGGATGCTGCGGCTCGGTAAGTACCGACCGCCCTCACCCCGGGCACCCGCCTGCCCCCTTCCAGCTCTTTGGTGTCGTGCTGCTCCCCAGGTGTCTCTGCCATCCAGATTTCTGGATGCTCCATGCATTGCAGCAGGGCTGTGGCTGCTCCATGCCATCCCTCCCCTCCTGGTCTGGGGTTGGAGGCAGCACAGGCTGTGTGAGGGCCAGCGTTGCTCAGGCCCACACAGAGGAAAGCTTATTTTTGCTGTGATTTACATTTAAATGACTGGGATGGTTCGGGTTAGAGATAATATACTGTTGGGTCAGAGAAGAGCAAATCTCTCTTTTCAAGCCAGGCACTTTGCCAGACAGACTTTTTAGCTCTGCATACCAAAGAGGAGTCCAGTTTCCAGCACAGGAAAAAAAAACCAGCAGAGAATTTTCTTGTTGAGTTCACTCCATCCCCTCTCTTACTTCCGACAGCAGCTCACGTTGAGTGATCACAGGGGTTTCATTAGTACACAATTCTTTTCCATAAATAACACCAGGCACATCATGGATTTGGAATGTTAGGGGCAATCTCAGCGTAAATACAGAAATTTGAAATTTTTTTCCCCATAATTTCCATGGAGTTCAACACATTTTTCCCTGAAACCAAGAATCCCAGTCCTTTGCAATACAAGGCATGGCATTCCAAGAACATTTGAAGAAATATTATCTCCATGTTAGTATTCATCTATTCTATTTTTTTTGCTTGAAAGTGATCTCAAGGCTAGTAATTAGCAAAGCAAAGCAGCTGGGGGAAATGGGCATGACCTTCACTGCACATCACAGGCACTTTGGACCAATGGCCCATCTGGATGAAATCAGCACCTGCTTCCAGGGAGAAACCTTCCACTGATCTGCTGCTCTCCCATCCAATTCCATGTTAGTTACAAACCAGCAGTTACAAACCGGCTGATGCACCATTTCAGAGCCCCGTTGCCTCCAGCGTTGCCTGCAACTGACTGTGAGCTGGATTCCTTTTGGTTAAAATTAGCCGGAGCAATTCTTTCATACCCACAAGCCTAATGCATTCAGCTCCGTGCTGGAAGGGTGCCCATGTGCCGGCAGCTCTGCGATCTGAAAGAAAAGGAGTTCTCCAGTGGAGGTCACGATGAGCTGCAGCTCAAGATTAAATTGCTTGTAGTGGCAGCGTGCCCGGTGAGGGTGAGCTCGGCTGGGAGCACCGCGCTGCTCTGCCGCCTCCACCACGGCCATTCCCGAATGGAGCATGTCCGCTGGGATCAGCAGGGAGCGCACGACTCAGAGAGGGGATGGGAGCAGCTGGACACCACGGTGCAGCCTGGGCATTCCCTACCCCCTCCATTAGAGCCAGGGCTGTGATTTTGGTGATTTTTTGGTGCTCCTACCAGTGGGCAGGGTGGGCTGGCGCTGCAGATAAGCACAAAACCAGATCAAAGTTGCAGATAACCACCACTGCAGCTCCAGACTGTAAACCAGACCCTGCCTGAGCAGCCCGGCAGCCATGTGCCCCAGAGACGTTTTTGGTTTTTCCTCCTCACAGCATTCTGGCAGGCCCCAGCTACCTCTGCAGCACCAGGCAGGGTGCCCTGGTATTTCAGCCACTTCTTGTCATGAAGAATGGCAGAGTTCAGCTGAGACTCAAAGGTACTTTCACTAATTTGATCAGAAATCCCCATGGTTTGGGGCTTAGAAACACTATATGCAGGCAAAGGGGAGAGCAGAGGATTCTCCCAGTGAGTCAGGATGGCCTTGAGGTATCCCAGCATCACTGTGGTTATGATGCCCCTTCTCAACCAGGATGAGGCTTCTCTCCTCTCCTTGCAGCTCTGCTTTCCCTGTTGGTGATGGATGGCTGGATTCCTGGAGAGCAGCACAGAGCCCAAAAATAACTTCTCTCAACTTGCAGAAAAACGCCAGGAGAAGCAGCACAGCTGGAAAAACAGTAACTGCTGAACTGCTCAGACACTCACAGCAATTCTCAGCCTTAATTCATTGAGGAAAAACTAACTGCAAGTATTCTTTGAAATCAAGATTATTTTGACTGGACAGCAGTCAGTGCTCTGTTCCTTGCCCAGACAAGCAAACCTCTCTCTTCAAGCCAGAGATCCTGTGTGATTTGTTGCAGTGACAAATCTGAAACTTGTGTCCTGTAATTTTTCACGTTGTGAGGATTGACTCAGTGACCAGTCCCTTACCCTCAGCTCACCTGCTCAGTGTGTCAGCAAAAAATGAGTATTCCTGTAAGAACAAAGCAGGTGGACACAGTTCTTGTTCCAGGTGGGCAAATATGGGCTCCTTCCACAGCCTCTTCTCCCTCTGTAGCGCAGCAAACAGAGCGCTGCAGAAGCAAAATGTGCTGTGCTGTGCTGCAGTCCCCTGGAAATTACTGAGAGAAACCAAATACATCATCTCCTCTCTGTCTGTTTGCTCTTTTGATTGTTTTCATTTGTAGCCCCTTCATGAAATGGTCACGTATTTAATTGCAGCAAACGGAAATCGGTACGAAGGAGGTTGGAAAGATGGAAAGAAGCATGGCCCTGGGAGATACTTCTACGTGGATAAGGGACAGTTGTTAGAAGGCACCTGGGCAGAAGATATAGCTAAGTGTGGAATTCTGGTTGACTTCGACAGAGACAAAGCTCCGGCCCCTACTAAGTATCCAATTCCAAAGGTAATTGCTTGGAAATGTCAGTGTTTGCATCCATCAGAACTTGGGTCAGCTCTCCAGGTAGCATTTCACTTCTCCCGTGATTGCCCCCGTGGGATTCCCCACTCACAGGGTGTGTGCTCAGTGTCTTTTGGCCAGCAGTGTCCTCAAGGGCCCCATAGGGACTAACAGCTCATCCAGCCTCTGCTGGAGCCTCCTAATGACCTACATCTGAAAAAATGCAGTTTTCATGCACCAGAACTGCTCAGAGACCTGAGGCAGCACAAAGGAAACGGGGACAATAGAGGCAGAGACAATTGTGGGATTTGCGTCAAACCCAGATGATTTCCCCAAGCCCAACTGCTGAAGCTGAGCAGACCCTGCAGAACCCCGGGCAGCTGCAGGGCTCACAGCAGCTCTTTCCTCTGCCTGGGTACTCCAAGTCAGGAGCTCACCGTGTCCAGCAGCCCCAGAGGCAGAGGGGTGTGTGCAGCTTCCCACCTGGTCCCAAGGTGGGCAGATGGTGTCCCAGAGCCAACATCCTCTGCTCCCCTTTCCCATGACTGAGGGGAATGACCTTTCCCACTGCTGAGGAAGAGTCAGTGCCTGTCCCCATGAAACACAAAGGCATCGCATTTCCAGGGGATGGTTACTGCAGGAAGGGGTGGGGAAGCTCCTCTTTGCGTGGAGCCAAGCAGAACCACCCTGGGTAACCACAGCACACTGCTTTGCTCCAGGAACACTGGGAATAGCACAGCCCTACACGCAGGTAAAGCCACCTGCCCTCCTCTGCCCTGGGGACAAGGTCATTGCAAATGACACCTGGTACCTGCAGCCTTCCAAAGCTCACAGCTGCTACACCTTCACTGCCCCTATTTTTTCAAATCTGGTTTCTGTAGCAAAGGGCCCTTTGAGCAGAGATGGTTTTGACAAGCCAGTTAATCCTGTAAGTACCAGGCACACCCACAGCAGTGCAGAGTAATAAACCCCAAATACCCACCAGGGAAAAACAATCTCTATTTTTCAAAAAGAGTGAAAGGAGCAGCACTTCTGTAGCTAAAAATATTTACCTTATGTGGTTTGTCAAAGGTCACCCAGAACAGCCTCAACAACCCATCAGTCTGGGATGAACTGCGCCGGTAGGCTAAGGCAGGATGTTCAAGTCTGACTGTTTATTTAACTCCCTGAAGACCAAGTGATGACCCAATTCTCTTCTGCTCTAGGGGCAAAAAGAAAGCATCAACTTTCATTGCTGTTATTGTGCTTTCAATCGCCAGAGATGCGTTGATCTCAGAGTATGAGAGAAGTTAACGGATATTCATAAACATTTTCACGCACACTCTTTAAAAATTACGAGCTCCAACAGGCTACAAATCAAAGACATTCTTGTTTTGTCCAAGAATGTGTTTAGTTAAAGGAGACTCAGCCACTCCACACAGAGCTATTTCAAGATGAAGGGATGTTCAACACACTAATAAAATTAAGGAAGTGTAGCAGTGTTTCTAAAACAATAACTGAAAGGCTGCTGTATGAACTAAGTCTTGATACATGGGAGACTCTCCGTTAATGCTCGAGTAATCAAGATCTATAAAACCTTAAGCTTCTTCAATTACACTGCATAACTGATTTGTATTCTTTTTATTTAGATTGAACTAGATGATCCAGCTGGTGTTTTAGCAGCGGCCCAGGCACTGCTTGATGACAGCAATAATTAATAACTGGATGCTGAAGAAAAAGACGTAAGATAAGAGCAGTCCTGAGTTATGTATTCATTCCAGTGTCAAATCCACACTGGTGTATGTGGTCTGCTTCACTCTTCCCTCAAGGCTGTTCAGGTACACTTCACTCTGCAGGTGGCTTTGCTCAGTAGCCTCCTCCTACCCCCATTATTTTGGAAAAGAAAGGAAAAAAATTGAAGGGAAAAATAAAAAAGAAAAACCACGAGCAGCAAAATGCTGGCAGACAGGCAGGGGAACTCAGCTCAGCTCCTCTAACTTACTCCTGCTGTAAAATCACACTCCTGTTGGTTTCAAGGTCTCTGCCTTAGAGTATGAGGGATTTTAGTATCTGCTATAAAAACAAGGCCCTAGAAAAGTACAATCAAATAACTGTGTCTCCCCCCACTCCCCCCCAAACTTATCCCAATACATACCCGTGACCCAAAATGGCTTCTGAAGCTCCACCAGACCATGTTTCAATTAATAAGTACACTTTAGGCCTCTAGATAACAATCAATCAGCAACAATTAAGCAGATTTTATTTCATGAAAGTATTTTATATCTAAACAAGTGATATACAATAACCAATGTTTAAAATGCTTGAGGTAAATGCCTCCTAACACCGTTAGTATAAATAAGGGATAAAAAAACATTTTTAAGTGCACTCTTAACATTTAGACCCACGTGTTTGTGTCTCGTTACTGCCTGGGCACAAGTGACAGAGGTACCCAAGGTGTAACTTTCATGACCATTTCCACAGGTGAAAAATGAGAGAAACATACTCGGTATCATGGCTTAAAGTGCAGCAAATAGTCAGAAAAGCAGCTGTAACAACAGCGCCATTAGCTCAGAGCCTACCAGTTTGGGAAAGTTAAAAATAAGATTGTCTCCCTAGCTTTTAAGTCTGTATCTTTTAAACAAAAAAACCACAACCCACACTTCTCTGTCACTTTGCAAAAGATTAACAAAACAATGGGAAATTCAGCTACTTATCCTGGACAGCAAGTAATTTTACAAAATAAACTCGGAAAATTGATGTTCTGGACTTCATTCAGAACTGTGTCACTTTTACATACACAATTTACTGACAGAAGTACAATTTTGAAGCCTGACAGCACCCTTTGCTCAAGTGTGAATACTGAGTCAGGTTGTCAGAGTTTTTCCCCAAGACAGGACTAGTATTCCAGTAAAGGATGGGAAAACATATTTTGTGCCTACTACCAAGACTTTCTGTTTTGGAATGCTGCTTCCTTAATGCCTTTACTAGCATAATCCTTCCAGTGCTCCATGAATGAGCACCTGTGGGACTGTAGCTACAATCCTCACCATCAGATTTTCATCAGGAATAGGACATCTTTGAAGCACAACATAATGGCGGAGCTGAGAAAATCCAGTTTGGCCTCCTTATGCCAGAAGGACTTTTGAAAACAGCAAGTGCAAAGCTGTTTGCTGCTTGTGAACAGAGACTGCTGCTGAAAAGAACAGCCCAGCAGGTTTTTTTTTTATAGTTGTTTGTGACAATACAAAGGCACCACGGGTGACCTTGTCAACACGTTGCACTGCGGTGCTGCTGACAGGAGAGATCAGCCCCATCTGCTTCAGAGGCTCCTGCAGCAGCAACCACGCAGCACCCAAACCCCACAGGCACATCCTGCAGTTTGGAAATCTGTTGGGATAACCCCAGATGGAGGTTGGTGAGACCACGTTCAGCCCAGGCTGTCAGGTACAAATCCACTGTCCCGTCACAGTCATTCCTGTCTCAGGTCAAAATCCCAGGTTTCCACTCCACAGTGACAGCTACGACAGGGAGGTCAAGTTTTTTCCCTTAGACTTGAAACCTGTCTCAGTGTGTATGTTCAAAAAACCAGCTTTTACCTATTAAATCCCAGAGCTACTCCCTAGAAGAACTGTGTTCCCAAAATCCCACTCCTAGACACAGCCACAGTTACTGAAGCAGCCCAGGAAAACTGCTGCAAACTTTCTTGGACAAACCTCTTATCTAGGAGACCAAATGGAAGTTTTTGCCTTAAGAGGAAATAAAGAATGACACAGCAGCTTTGCTGTCACAGACGTGTCTGAAAGTAAGCAGCCAATATTAATTACAAACAATCTACTTTCATAAATAAATATACATCCACAAAAGTTGCCTTCCAGATCCTCTGGAATCAAAAAATTTATAAGGAGCTATTAAATATACAACACTTCAGCAAGAAGACTTTTCTAAACAAGGAAGACCAAGGCATAGTTAATTACTTGGGAATCCAACGCAGAGAAAGCACCTTTTGCTGCTTGTATCTGAGGATTTATTAAAAATATATTTTCAATATAAAAGTATAAAATAATTAGTACTTTGGCTTGGAAAAAAACCAGCAGTGGTTCTGATTTTCAAGCAAAAAAAAAAAAATTATCCAGTGATAATTTCCATCTAGTTCCTTCTTTTTAAAAAAAGATTCCTAAATGAGAAACAGGCAGATCTATCTCTCCAGATAATACCTGCCACGTCATGAGAACTTTAAAAACAGTTATTGCTCTTATTTTCTTCCACGGAAGAGTCGAGTCTCATTCCTACTCATGTGGCCACACCACATCACAGTTAAGACTAGTCAGGGGTGTTTAGCAAGTTACAAAACGTGTAAGTGCCACGGGAAAAAGGCGCCGGAGAAATCAGTAAAGTAATAATTACTTGGCAGCAAAACATCCTGGGGAAAGTGGTGGGAAAGCTCTCGCTCCTACCATCTGTCAGGCTTTCCAGGGAGAGCAGCACTAGCACCGAAACCAAGTGCTAATTGCTGCATGTCCCAAGTAATTTGTATCATGCCATGCAATATGGATCGGACAAGCAGTATCTTCTAGTAAATGCCAACATCAAATAAACAGAGAAAAAAAAAACCAACAAACCAAGAACTTCTCTATCCATTCCTAGCAAATACCCAAATGTACAGTGCTATTTTTCCATGGATTTATACAGCCACCATTCAGCACTAATGAGAAAATAAGCGAGACAGTGTTCACAGGAGGAGGGCTGCACGCACAGGGCAATCACACCCCACCACCCCTTCCTTCAGACAGCAAAAACTGCGTGAAAGGAACATTTTTTTTTTCCTTCTCTAAAGGGTTAAAACAATATTTATAATATTTCTCGAAACAGTGATCAGCAGTTCAACCCGTTCATCCACAGCGGCATCAACGTAAGGCAGAAGCGGAACAGTGGGGTCACCTTCCTTCAGCACAGGTTTACGCAAAATTGGTAACGGCTGAGGACACGGTATCGCCTCTGTGATCCAGCTGATCCTGGAGCCGTGCAAATTCAGCAAGTTCGTTCAGCTCCTGGAACTGCCTGTCTGTTTTATGGCTCACCAGCGACCGGTAGAAGTGGACTGCAAACACAATGAAAATCAATCCAAAGGGCACCATGATAGATGTGGACGCAATGGCTGCCGCCTGTCCCGATGTGATGGTAGAACTGTTGCCCTGCGGGGTATTATCAGTTTTCTTCTTTAAAGGAAGAAACTTCACCCAGCACAGTAACACCACCTCAGCAAGGAAGAGCAAAGTCCCAATGACAGTGGAAAACGCCCAGGCGAGCTCGATGTGCCGGTGCATTCGATCGTGAGGAGATTCCTTGACAGAGTTGAGATTGTGCACATTGCTGACAGCCTCTATGTTTGGAAGAATGCAGGTGCTTATCATGAGTGCAAACAGGTGAACTGCAACAAGGACAGTAGTGCAGGCACTGAAGGCTATCAAGAGCCCTTGAGGGTAGTCGTGTTCTGCGTCGAGCTGAACTTCCACCATGGCCACCTGAAAAGGAAGGGAGAGAGGGATGCAGTTACCTACATTATATACTATTTGACTACAGATTATTTTGAGTTTAAACCAAAATAAGTCTGCATTTACGTTTCTCTCCATGTCATCTGCACCCTTTTCCTCAGGTTCAAATTGAGGTCTGAGCAAAGGCCACCATTTTCATACTTACTGTTGTGTTGTAGAGCAAACCTTCAATATGCAGAAAAACTATTACAGCACAACCACCTTGCCACCTCCAGCTAATCCCACCAAAACAGCTGAACTTTGTGAATAACACTCCTGGACTCCTTAAGTGAAACATTTCTTCTTTCATGTTATACGGTTGAGGCAGCTTTTGATCTTTCACTATAGATTATAAATTTTGCTTGGTATTAGGAAATATTTTGTGTTCCATACATATGCAGAATGAACACCACATAAAGTCTTCTAAATATCTATAGCATAAAAGCCTGTAAAGGCAGCAGGCTGCCCATCACAACCTTGGTGGTTCCCTTCTCCTTGGATATTTGGGTTTAAGCCTTTCATGAGAAAAGATCACCTTTCCGTGGGGCTCTCAGCTATATTCTTTCACTCAAGCATTTAAGCAGACTGTAGAACACAAATTGAAAACATGACAGTCCCCACAATGCCCATGGCAGCCAAACAGGCCTGTCAGAGGCTGAAGAAAGACAATGTCTTGACAAAAGACAATACAGTGGTCCCAGGACTCACAAGCTCCTCACTCTGGAGGCCACGTCACTGCTCATCCAAAGATGAGGCTACTCATGAAGATACTCCACTATTGTATGAGCCATCCCCTTTTATAACCTTAGATGTCCCAGCATCCTGTGCTTCAGGAGCAGAAATCAGAATAAATAACATCACTAGGAAACTCATAAACCCAGCTCAGAATAAGGAAAATGAACTAGAATGCCTTTTAACAGGTTTGGAAACTGTCAGGTGGTTTTATGCATGTGTGATTGATGAGTGGCATTAATCCCAGCAGCTCTCCTGAATAATCTTTACTGATCAATTTGACTTTCAGACAAAGCACTGTTCCAAAGAGGGAACACTGCACCAGGTCTCTATGTTCTTTCTCAAATGAATTAATTAAGCAGACAAAATACATTTAAAGTGGTAATCTGAAATATAAGCACATCAAGCTGATAGGAAGAAAAATTCTTGGAGCGTGGGTAACGTGGATGCAGGGAGGCATGGAAACCAGGACCCAAAGACAGCTGCAAAAGCAGCAAGAACATTTCAAACCTCACTACTGTGCAAGAGCTGAGCCAAGTGACACCTAGTCCTGGATCCCACCTTCCTACGCATGTTCCAGGACACCAGAGCTCCTGATCACTAATGCACCAAATATATTAAGGCAACCAAGGGTTCTGCTCAGACATGTTTCAACAGGCATTCAAGGCCATTTGCCAATGTTTTAATTCCTTCACTGAAAGCTTTTATTCTCATAAGCCTCACCACTCAGTCAACCAGCGAACAGTTTCCAAGTGTTACAAGAAACTCAACGTGAAATCATATTAATGCATATAAGATTCTTGCTCAAAGATTTAAAAATACCATTTTTTTTAGTCGTGGGAAACTTCACATTTGAGAGGATAAACATTTGGTTGTCAGGATTGCTTGTTAAGTCCCAACGTACTCGTGGGATGCTGGGCTTCCTGTGT